TAAGTGGGAGCTAAATAATGAGAACGCATGGATGGAAAGAGGGGAATAAGAGACACTGGGGCCTACTTCAGGGAGGTGGGTGGGAGGAGGGAGAAGTTCAGAAAAAAAAAATTGGGTACTATGCTTAGTACCTGGGTGAGGAAATAATCTGTACACCAAACCCCCAAGTCACAAGTTCACCTGTAAGACAAACCTGGACATGTAGCCCTGTACCTAAAATAAAAGTTAAAATATTTTTAAAAATAAAACAAAACCACATATTGATGAAAAATAATTTTAAACAATTATTAACACAATTTGAACAAAAATAAACAATATAAGGATAACCATGAAAAATAAAATAAAGATCAGAGCTGACATCAATAAACTAGGAAACAGAAAAACCAATGAAACATTTTAGAAATAAATAATCTATAAGTAAAAAAAAATCAGTGACACCAAAAGATGGTCCAGAGACCAATAAAACAGATAAATTTCTAGCCAGATTGATCAGGAAAAAACAGAAAAGATATAAATTACCAATATTAGGAATGAGAAGTGGCATCGCAGTTTCTACAGGTATTAAAAGAATAAGTCGGGCACCGTGGCTCATGCCTGTAATCTCAGCGCTTTGGCAGGTTGAGGCAGGTGGATCACCCAAGGTCAGGGGTTTGAGACCAGCCTTGCCAACATGGCAAAACCCCGTCTACTAAAATACAAATATTAGCCAGGCATGGTGGCTTATGCCTGTGATCCCAGCTACTCGTGAGGCTGAGGCAGGGGAATAGCTTGAACCCTGGAGGCAGAGGTTGCAGTGAGCTGAGATCACGCCACTGCACTCCAGCCCAGGCAACAGAGTGAGACTCTGTTTCAAAAAAATGAAGAAGAAGAAGAAGGAGAAGGAGAAGGAGAAGAGAGGAATATTATTGTTTTAGTTCATTCAGCCTGCTATAAGAAAAATATCATAGAATGGGTGGCTTAAACAACACTTATTTCTCAGTTCTGGAGGCTAGGAAATCCAGGATTTCCCAGATTTGGTGCCTGGTAAAGACCCATTTCCTGGTTCATATCTTCTTACCATATCCTCACAAGATAGAAGGGGCAAGGGAGTTATCTGGGGACTCTTTTGTGAGAGCATTAATGCCATTCATGAGGGCTCCACCCTCATGCCCTCATCACCTCCTAAAGGCTCCACTTCTTTTTTTTTTATTATTTCTTTTTTCTTTTTGAGACTTGCTCTATCACCCAGGCTAGAGCATACTGGTGTGATCTCAGCTTGCAGCAACCCCTGCCTCCCGGGTTCAAGCAATTCTCCTGCCTCAACCTCCTGAATAGCTGGGATGACAGGTGCACACCACCATATTCAGCTAATTTTTATATTTTTAGTAGAGATGTTGTTTTGCTATGTTGTCCAGGATAGTCTGAAACTCCTGACCTCAAGTGATTCACCTGCCTCAGCCTCCCAAAATGCTGGGATTACAGACATGAGGTGCCACACCCACTTTCTAATACCATCACATTCAAGGTTAGGGATTCAACATAGGAATTTCAGGGGAACACAAACATTCAGCCCATAACAGTTATGAACAATCGTGCCAATAACGTTCACAACTCAGATAAAATGGACACATTCCTTGAAAAAGCTCACTGATGATGAAATAGACAGCCTGAATAGCCCTTAATCTACTAAATAAATTGAATTTGTGGATTAGTGAAAAAAAAAAAAACTTCAGACCTGGGTAGCATCACTGGTGAAATCTATCAAACATTTGAAGAAGAAATAATACCAGTTCTACACAAACACTTCAAGAAAATTGAAGAAGGAATTCTTCCAGCTCATTATGTGGAGACCAGATTTACCCTGTGTTGATTACGCTGGTTAGTTTTAATGTGTCAACTTAGCTAGGCCATGATACCCAAATATTTGGCCTAATAGATCAGGATGTTACTGTGAAAGTATTTTTATAGATGAGATTAACATTTAAATTAGTAGACTTTGAATAAGGTAAATTACTCTCCATAGTGTGGGGGGACCTCATTCGATCATTTGAAAGCTTTAAGAGAAAATAGACTGAGGTCCTCTGAGGAAGAGGAAAATCTGCCTTTAGATTGTCTGTGTACAGTTGCAACAGCAGCTCCCTGGGTCTCCAACTTGCCAATACTCTGCAAATTTTAGACATGTCAGCTACATGACCCAATTTCTCTAGAGAAACAGAACCAATAGGGTACACAGTTGTCCTATCCCTTGGTGGAGGATTAGTTCCAGGATCTCCCCAAGGCTACCAAAATCCATGGATGCTCAAGTCCCTTATATAAAATGATGTAATATTTGGATATAACCTGCACACATCCTCCTATATACTTTAATCATCTCTAGATTACTTGTAATATACCTAATATAACATAAATGCTATATAAATAGTTATTGTACTATATTGTTTAGGGGATAATGACAAGAAAAGTTCTGTATATGTTCAGTACAAGTGCAGTCGTCCTTTTTTTTTTTTTTTTTTATATTTTTGATCCTCGGTTGGTTAAATCCACATATGCAGAATCCATAGCTTCAGAGAAACAGAAAAACTGAACCAATGGTGTGTGTGTGTGTGTGTGTGTGTGTGTGTGTGTGTGTGTGTAATTTATTAGACAAAGAAATAATAAGATTACTTTTCACAAAAATAGTACAATAGAAATAATAAAGATTACTATTATACTATTATTCACAATAGCAAAGTGAGATACACACACACACACACACACACACACACACGCGTGTCCCATTGGTTCTGTCTCTCTGGAGAATCCTAATATACTGACACCAAAAACAAAGAGATTAAAGGAAAACTATAGACAAATCCTCTTATGACATAGAGGCAAAAATTCTTAACAAAACTTTAATAAATTTAATCTAATAGCATATCAAAAGAATAATACAAACTGACTAGAGTTTTCTTCAGGAATGTAAGGTTGGTTTAACATATCATGCCATCAATGTAATTTACCATATTAACAGACTAACAAATTAAAACCACATTATCATCTCAAAGGACGCAGGGTAAGCACTTGACAATACTTGACATCTATTTTTGATGAAAATTCTCAGCAAACTAGAAAGAAAAGAACTTCTTCAACCTGTTAAAGGGCATCTAAGGAAAACCCACAACTAACATCATACTTAAAGATGAAAGACAAGGCTTTCCTCCTAGGATCATGAACAAGGCAATGATGTCCTCTCTCTACTTCTATTCAACATTGTACTGGAGGTTCTAGCCATACAATAAGCCAAGAAACAGAGAAAAAAAAAAACAAAACACCCAGAGAGGAAAGGAAACAAACTGTTTTCATTTATAGACAACATAATTATCTATGTAGAATACTCAATGCGCTTACAGAAAAAGGTACTAGAATTAATAAGTGAGTTTAACAGTTTTCCAGGATACAAGATTAATATACAAAAATTAACTGCATTTATATATGCTAGCAATAAACAATTGGAAATTTAAAAAATTTTAATACCATATATAGCCTGGCACAGTGGCTCACACCTGTTATCCCAGTACTTTGGGAGGTCAAGGTAGGAGGATCACTGAGTCCAGGAGTTCGAGGCCAGCCTAGGCAACATAGTGAGATCCCATGTCTACACAAAAATAAAAATATTCAGGCATAGTGGCACCCATCTGTAGTGCCAGAGCTACTTGAGAAGCTGAGGTGGGAGGATTACTTAAGCCCAGGAGCTCGAGGCTGCAATGAGCTATGATCATACCAGTGCACTGCAGCCTGAGTGACAGAGCAAGACCTGCCTCTAAAAAAATACACAAAAAAGCAAAGCCCTTACAACAGCATCAAAAATATAAACTATTTAGGAATCAATCTGGCAAAATATACGTTCATGTATGAAAGACTCAATATTGTCAAGAGGTTAATTCTCCCGAAATTGATCTATAAACACAATACAATCTTGATCAAAGTCCCAGCAGGCGTTTTTATAGTAACTGAGGAGCCAATTCAAATGGAAGTGCAAAGGACTTAGAGTAGCCAACAACTTTCTTTCAAAGTTTTAGGCCAGGCACAGTGGCTCACGCCTGTAATCCCAGCACTTTCAGAGGCTGAGGTGTGAGAATCATTTGAGTTCAAGAGTTCAAGATCAGCCTGGCCAACATGATGAAACCCTGTCTGTACCAAAAATACAAAAATTAGCAGAACATGGTGGCACACACCTGTAATCCCAGGTACTTGGGAGGCTGAGGCAGGAGAATCACTGGAACCCCGGAAACAGAGGTTTCAGTGAGCCAAGATGATGCCATAGCAATCCAGCCTGGGTGACACAGTGAGACTCCATCAAAAAAAAAAAACACCCTGTCTCAAACTCCTGCTTTCCAAGTAGATGGAGCAGGATAATGTGCTTTAATTGGTGAAGAGTGTCCAATCCCAGTTTATCATGCAGAAGGCAGGAACAAGTCAGGGACAGATCCTGGCACAAGGAGCTAAAATGGTGCCTTTAACGCAGGGGAAGGGGGTATGAAAGAGACTTAGGTTGAGACTAACAGCTAGTTGCCCCTGCTCAGCAGGGCCGTAGAGTTGAGGCCATCCCTTTAACAGCAGTGGAACTTTGTCACACACAGCCTCTGAGTCTTGGTGAGAAACTAGTCCCAGGGCCCCTTGTTGTCTCTGCCACCCCTGTTCATGACGTCATGGAAACTTCTATGTGGCTGGGCTCCTGAACACAGCAACCTACCCTCGGCTGGATGAGGCAGCCAAAACCCTAAAAGGGTTATCACAGGGACTGGAGTTAACAAGTAGCTGGGGAACACGGTGGAGCAGACCCTTCACGCAGGGAGCCCTGTGGGCTAAAAACCCCAGACAGCCAGGATGTGGCGAGAGACTGCCCAACGCACTGTCTGTGTGGGGCAGAGGAAGGAAGGAGATGAAGGAAGGAAAAGGGAGGCAGGAGGGAAGGATCCCAGCCAAGTCAGGACAACCCCCATGCCTTGCCCAGGAGCCTTAAGAAGTCCAGGCACCTGCCAAGTAAAAAGGGATATATTTATTGGCTGAGCAAGAAGGAAAGGTACAGTTGATAACAGATGCTTCTAGAAGCCACCAGTCTCAGGTTCACTTGTTCCGGGGCCAGTTTCCTCCAAGGCGGCTATACTGAGCATCATCTCGATCTCGGAGGGGCTAAGAGAGAAGAGGGAACCGTCAGGAGGCAGGGTTAGAACTCTTCTAGGAAGGGTCCCAGCAGGCTCCAACAATGAGAGCTCCTGCCTGCCTGACCTCTCCAGTCACACCCAGAGATGAACTCCCCAGTAGAACCCTTCCCATGTGCAAACAGCATTCAGTGTCAGCCTCTCTGTCCCTACTCACACCCCCTCCTTCCCCTCAGGGCTCACCTGATAGACCTGGTCATTCCTCAGCAGAGCTTGTGTGTCAGCCACTAGAAGAACCAGAGAGAGACATCAATGGCCTAGCAGAATGGGACAGTGAGACTCACCCTCCCACACCCTCAGAAGTATGCACCAGTGATATGAACCCACAAGTTCTTTCAACAGTCAAGGTTCTGGGAGTCTTTAGGAGACTGCAAGAGTAACTTCCAGGTGAGAGTAAACCTACCACCAGCCCCATTCCTTAGCTGGTGCATAAGCTCACTGGTATACACACATACACACACACACACACACACACACACACACACACTGTTCTTCCACTAACCCCCAGAGAGCCTTCCAGTCTCATGTCCAGCAAAGCAGTAGACTCCCAAAGCGAGGAGTACAGTGGCAATGACATCAGTGACAATGATGCCAGCCAGGGTGGCTGGATACAGCTCCACACAGCTCTGGCACACTGTGGGGGAAGGGAGGAGAGAGGAGAGGTTGAGAGCTTTTAAGATCAGGGAACCATCTCTGCCACCTAAGGCAACCCTGAGATCTCTCATGCCAAAACCCAAACTTCAATAAGACCCTGGGAAAAAGGCCTGGTGACAGCGTTACCATACCTTCCTCCACCCTTCATCCTGAGGAATCCCTGAGGAGAGCCAAGAAGTAACCTCAGCTTTGTGGGACCTTGCACAGGTGGCGGGCCAAACTTCTCACCCAACCAAGGCTGCAGTAACATGACCCCTACTGCTCTTTCTTGCTGAGTTAAGCTCTCTCTTCCACTTTGAAGAGTGGAAGAGAGAGTGGTACAAACCTGGCTTGTACCACTGCAATAGTGACCTCAGTTTGTTTAGAGAACAGATGGGTTCACCACAGCCCCCTCTAACCAGAAGTCCAGAAGCCCCATCCATTCCAACCCAAAAGGTCCAAGAAGCACATACTTCGATAATAAACTTGCACAGTAGATACTTGGCCGGCGTATTTTTCTGTCCCAGTACACTGATACATTCCTCGTGGGTCCAGGATGCCTTTTCCCAGGTCCAGCCTTGTATTGTTTGTGAGCAGTGTTCCCACTGTTCCCTCTACCCATGTGATGCTGGTATTACAACTCACAAACACTCTGTCCTCAAGTTCCTCTACAGGTATCTTGAAGGGGCTCACTAAAGGAGAAGAAATACCACAGTTGGAGACAGCTCTTTGGTCTGCACCAAGCCCTTTGTTCTGCAGAAGCTCATACTTAAAAAGGACCACTTTCCTAGTCCAGGACAGTCTATGATTTCTATTGGGAGAGACAGAAGTCACAAACAAGAAGAAACCTTCAGAATGTCCCCTGCCAACTGCAGGGGCCAAGGGGGACAGGAGGATGCTGTTCAAGCAGAGGACAGGTCTTGGGGGACTTGGTGCAAAAGAAGACCCCTCAGAGCATGGTTGATCCAAGCATCTTCCTGGAAATGAGTCCAGAATACCGACGAGTAGTACAGGGAGCATGGACCACTGAAACACCAGAAAGATATAGAAAGAAGAACATTCCTCTGTTGGAAATGTCTGCATTTTTCTTCAAGGAAACATCTAATTCTACTTCCCAGCCATCTACAACACTCTCACGTCAACTTCTTGTCCTCATCTTTCCTCATTGCCCCTGCTCCAGTGACAACCAAGGAAGCGGGGCTCTCAATACTGAAGCCTTTCCCAGGGCCAGGCATGGCTGTGGGTGGAGACCAGCTGGTTTACTGGCCCCCGAATTACCAGCCCAGTGGTCCAGAAGGGGACCAGGACAAATCCCATGTACAGATTTTCCACCCTTGGTTAGAAGGAGAACAGGAAAAAACTTTTATTCAATCCATTCCTGGAGCTCCTCACAAGTCAAGTCTTGGGGGAGAGTTTAAGGGCTGGAGGTGAGTCCAGCCCCTTTCCAGATGCTGTGAGTTGCTTTCACAGCCTAAGCACATCTCCACAGCCCACAGAAGTGCTATAGCCTATACCTCCAAACACAGGGAAAAGGGGAGACTACGTTCATTCAATCTGGGCTTCACACTGGGTCATGAATTTGGATACAAGAGCATCTTCTAGGAAACCCTAAAATAGCTGCTGCTCACACTTCTGAAGCAGGTTGGAAGTAGATGCTTGTCTACTCAGGGAGACACGCACATCAAATGCTTCACATCCTACAGTCGCATCCTCTTCAGGAATCTGTCTCAAGTGGAAATCATGAGTGTCTTAGTGCAGCCGACTATTCGGTGACCATTGGACCCAGTTTGCTTAGGGGTTCCTGGGACATGGGACTTTCCATTTTAAAAGTGAAATTGACGAACTGAGATGAGTTGAAATCCTCCTATGTGATAACCCCTCAAATCTTCCCTCTCTCTGCTCAACCTAAAGTTAACTTCTCTCAAAGCATTCCCATTAGTGCTAGGACACAGCTCCAGGGGTGACGTAACTATGGCGAAATGAACAAGAGTCCTGATTACAGAGACCATCAGCCCTGAAAGGAATAGTGCAGGAAGCTGTGTTCCCAAGACCAGCCCCAGGTTCAGGTACTTACATACTGAGCTATTTCCTACAGATCTCTGGCCTAAGGCCTTCTGAGAGACATTCTAGGCCTACATGCACCCGTAGCTGGAGTCAGTCAAAGTCAAGAGCCTGTTTCCCAGACTCTATGCTACATCCCAGCCCTGCCACCCCAACACCCTGGGGTGCCTGGTGAATTGAAGCTGGCACTGAGAAGCGTGTGTGTGTGTGTGTGTGTGTGTGTGTGTGTGTGTGTGAAAGAGAGAGAGAGATGAGGTCTCATGGGGTTGCCCAGGTTGGAGGGTAGTGGAATGATAACAGCTCACTAAAGCCTTGAAATCCTGGGCTCCAGTGACCCTCCTGCCTCAGCCTCTCAGGTTGCTGGGACCACAGCAGGTAACCACCATGAATGGCTGTTTTTTTGTTTGTTTTGTTTTTTGTAAAAATAGAGTCTCACCATGTTGCTCAGACTGGTGTCAAACTCCTGACCTCAAGGGATCCTCCCACCTCAGCTTCCCAAAGCTCTGGAATTACTGGCATGAGCCACCATGCCCAGCAAGAAGCACTTTCAAGTGGGCCTCACTCCCAGCAGTAATGTCCCTCTCAGGTCCCTTCCCCCACCCACCTGGAGTAGCCTTACCTTGGGGGAGAAGGGTAACCAGTACCAGGCCAGACAGAAACATGCTATGTTCCATCTCCCAGCGGAACTCATCCAGTAGATAAAGCCAGGTCACCGAACTAACAGCCTGGGTGAGAGCTGCCCTCCCCCAACTGACTCTAGGTACCGGAAAAAGCAGAGTGGGGGGAGGAACTAGAAGATGTCTGCTTCTCTGCTTTCTGCCGTTGATGACGGAGACTGTCTGGGTGGGGGTGGGCTAGGAGTAGGTTAGGAAGGAAGCAGGTGTAAATTGGTCTATCTCTGATCGGGGAGCTGGCAGAGAATATGGAAAAGGCGGCCTGAACTTTAGAGTCCCTATTCACAATGCAACTACATTTGCTCACCACCTAAAAACTGCTCCATCCCAAAGCCCGCTGAGAGAAGCCATCAGCCCCATAGTGCAAGCCACAGCAGCCAGGTGTCTCATGGAGGCTGGTCTTTCTCAGGACCCTTCACTGGGCAACCAGGGACACCAGATCTAGCAGCTTCTTGCCAATGAGAGGCTGGGCTATAGAAACCTCAGCCAGAGATTTGAACCCTGGGTCCAGTACTGCCCACCTGCGGGGCCTGGGCCAGCCATGAAATTTTTCAGAGCTTTATTTCGTTAGTACCAATATGAAGATTCAAACAAAGATGTTTGCTTGACGCCTCACACATCGTATGTGCTTAATAAGGGCTAGTTATTAGTAATAACATAATTGACTCACAGGCAATATTGAGCCTCCCGGGGAGACAAATGGACCTTCTGCCCCGGTGGCCAACAAGGATCTGAAATGCTTCTGCAACATTGTTGCAATTAGACTGTCATTTACCTGAGGACAGAGCCATGCCTATCTTGCTCACTGCTGTATCTTGTGCCTGGCACGTAAGAGGAGCTCTGCACGTTTTTGTTGGCTCACTCATTGACTGGCTGAGGGAGACAGGGCCCTGAGATCCCGGACACTCAGTCCCAGCTCTGACCCCTGAAAATGTGATGCCTGTCTTCTTGGAATTGTTCCACCTATTTCCTTCCAGGCACCTCTTTCATGATCTCAAAAGAACAGTGAAGGTGGGCGCGGTGGCTCACGCCTGTAATTCCAGCACTTTGGGAGGCCAAGGTGGGCAGATCATGAGGTCAGGAGTTGGAGACCAGCCTGGCCAACATGATGAAACCCAGTCTCTACTAAAAATACAAAAATTAGCCGGGCGTGGTGGCATGTGCCTGTAATCCCAGCTACTCAGGAGGCTGAGGGAGGAGAATCGCTTGAACCTGGGAAGCGGAGGTTGCAGTGAGCCAAGATCACACCACTGCACTCCAACCTGGGCGAGAGAGGGAGACTCCATCATAAAATAAAATAAGATAAAATAAACAGTGAAAACAAATCCTGAATGAAGGCCTGGACTGAGGTGGCTTTCCATTCAGAGGTCCAGCCCCAACCAGCTGAGAACCCCTTCTAAATTCATTACCTATAGCAACAACAGCTAGCAACAAGGAACAACTGGCTACAATCCTAACAACTAATGACAGGGATATTTCTTTCCCTCGTGAAGAAACGGTCCCAGGACCATCTCCCACCCAGCATCCACTGCGGTTCCCTGTGCAAGATGAGCTCTGAGTGGGAATCCAGCACTCTCTCCCTCTCCTTCCTCACCACCTCCACCCTCTACTCCTTAACAGAAAAACAAAAGGCATCTGCACCTGCAGCCCTGCTGAGGCCCCTGCTGCTGCCCACGCTTGCAGCAGAGGGTGGAGGCTCTGGGTGCTTGCCTTCTCTCAAGGGCCCCAGCCTGAACGGTGATGGGTGGAGCCAGTCTAGCCGCTGCACAGGCTGACTGGCTGCTAAGGGCTGCTCCACGCTTTTGCCAGAGGACAGAGACTGACATGGAACAGGGGAAGGGCCTGGCTGGCCTCATTCTGGCTATCACTCTTCTTCAAGGTAAGGGCCTACTAGGGGTCTGGCAGCCTGGGGAAGGGCTCAAGGGAAGAGGCCATCACTAGGGAGACAGGAATATTGGGATTCCTAACCTTGAAGCTACTTCTGCTGTCACCTTAGTGTTCAAAGAAGGCCAAAAATGGAGCCTCTTAACTGTTCTCTGCTAGAGAGAAACAGTGTCCCATTGGGGAGAAGAAATCTTTGTCTCTGAAAAATCAAGAGGACCTTGTTACCACCATCTTAGGTTTGAATGTAGCTCAAAAGGCCATAGGCCAGGAAACTGAAAGGAAAATATATGTTCCCTTGTTCAGAGCTGGGGGTTAGCATCGACCTGAAATGTCCATTCACTCAGTTGGGCAATTGGTCCATTGGTCAACGAAGATGGGTAAGATCCTAATATGTGACAGGCCATGAGGAAATAAAAATGAATAAAACACTTATGCGCTACAGAATTTATAGTCTCCTTGGAGAGATTCGTTTTCATGGTGCCATACTGAGTGTAAGGTACAGTACGCATGCCTGCATGAATGTTCCATTGGAAAGATCCAGTAGGAAGTGGACGAATGGGCTGATGCCTGGAATCTGGACACACTAGGGGAAATTAAAACCATGGAAGTTGCTGAAGTCCCATCAGTACTATGTGAGAAAGAGGAGGCTGGAGATGGAACAGTGAGGGCACCAATTTTAAGGGGCAGTTAAAGGAAAAAATAAATTTCAGGAAAAAGATAAAAGGGAAACCAAAGAGCTGAAGTAATTAGATGTGTGCAATACCTTGGAAACCAAGGGAGTAGAGCTTCTAGAAGGAGAGAATTACCAAGAGTATAAAATGTTAAAGAGATCCCACTAATATAAGAATATATTTAAAACTTTAAATCCATGGGATGTGGCAGAATACCCGTCACGGGTGAATTAGCACAGTTTCAGTGGGATATTGTGAGTGGAAGCCAAGTGAAAATTGATAGAAGGTGATGGTCAGGTGATGAGGTCAGCAAGCGTAGACTATTCTTTAAAGAAATTTGGATGAGCAGGGAGAAGAGACGGCACGGCAGATAGAGGAGGAAGTCAAGTCTAAGAATAAATGTTTTTGAGGTGAAAGAAACTTGAGAACAATTCTAAGCTAACAGAGAAGATGATGAGTAGAGCAGTTTCCTAGAATTGATGTTGGAAGAATAGAGTCAAGAGTGGGGTCAAGAGCACAGAGGGGCAGGTAATGTTACCTCTAAGACCGGGAAAAAGGAAGTGCAAATGGCACTGGCCATAGATAGGTTTATAAAGAGAATGGAAGCTAAAAGAGAAAGGACCATAACAGCTACCGTGTTCTAAAAAAACCAGGTGGGAGGCAAAAGCTGGGCAATGGCCAGGTGGGAGACTTGAAGAGGACGATGAGAGTTTAGAATAGAATTATTTCTGAGAGAAATGGGAGGAAAAGGCAGCTGAAAACAACACAGGTTGAGGAGCAGCTCTGAAGCCTGGATGAGGTGGCTGGATAGTGTGGAAGCAGCACTGAGTTGAGCAGTAGAAAACCTGACCTCTGGGTCCAGCTTGGACACCAATGTACTATGTGTGCTTGAACAAATCCTCCTCTATCTGAGAGTTCTCGTGCTAGCCAATCTAGAAATGTGGCTATATGACCTCTTAAGTCCTAAAAGGAAACCTCACTCAGATATGCAACATTAAAAGATGTCGGTGGGCCAGGGGCAGTGGCTCATGGCTATAATCCCAACACTTTGGGAGGCCGAGAAGGGAGGATCATTTGACTCCAGGAGTTCAAGACCAGCCGTGTCTACAGAAACTACAAAAATTAGCCAGGCATGATGACATGCACTTATGCCAGCTACTCGGGAGGCTGAAGTGGGAGAATTGCTTGAACCAAGGAGTTCAAGGCTGCAGTGAGCCGTGATCACACCACCGCATTTCATCCTGAGTGACAGAGAAAAAAAAAAAAAAAGATGTCTCAAAAAAAAAGATGTCAACGATCAGTGCAATCCAAATCCAATTTAGAATGAGGGGTCTCTGCCCTCCCTCTGTCTTCTGACCAGGTGGTCAGGAGAAGAGTTAGTTAGAAACCTCTCATCTGTTGTCTTGCTTCTTCTCCTATTTGCTCATTTATTCATTTGCACATTCATTCCACAAATAAAGTTCCTACCTTGTCCAGGCACTGCACTGGATACTGTTCAGAAATAGTCCAGCCCTGCCTGAGGTTCTAAGACAGTTCACTTATTCTGTTTCCATTATACTTGGACTCATGACTGCCTCCGCCTGTCACTCACACTCTACCTCTAGCCATACCAGCTCTCTTGTCCTTTTTGAAAGCTGTATTTTATTCAGCTATTCCTTCTACTCGGAATGCCTAATCTGTCTGGTATACTTCCTGCCTACTCTTCAAGGCCCAGATAAATGTCACTTCCTCTATTAAGCTTTCCCTGACCCCCACCCTTGGGCAAAATTAATAGCTTCCACCCTCTTTCATATGCATTCATATACACACTAAAAGAGAATGTATAAGTTCTATTAAATTAATTGAATATGTATTTTAATTTTTTCACTTCATCGTAAACTTTGGAAGCAGCAGATGATTCTTCATATCAACAGTCTTTTCTTTCATAGTATCTAATTATTTTAGGTCATAATAGTGCTCATTAAATGTTTGGATTAAATACAATTGAATTGAAGTGCCAGATCTCTGTAGTATGTCTGCCATCCAACTCTACTACCCTAAGGGTTTTTTTGTTTGTTTATTTTTGCTTTATTGAGACAGAGTCTTGCTCTGACACCGAGGCTGGAATGCAGTGGTGCAATCTCGGCCCACTGCAACCTCCACTTCCCAGGCTCAACCATTCCTCCCCCTTCAGCCTCCTGAGTAGCTGCTACTACAGGTGCATAGCACCATGTCCAGCTAATATGTTTGTATTTTTTTATAGAGACAGGGTTTCTCCATGTTGCCCGGGCTGGTCTCTAACTACTGGGCTCAAGCAATCTGCCCACCTCAGCCTCCCAAACTGCTGGGATTATAGGCGTGAGCAACCACGCCCAGTCACTCTGAGTTTTTGAGACAGATTTGAGGACTAACTGAATAGCTAACTTCCCGGGGACATCCAGGGATTTTACCAGAAAACGATCACCAAGGCTGAAGATTTTATAAGGAGCTCAGCCTAAAGGCCTTGGATAGTGCACACCTGCTCCTTGCCAGGGCATTGGCTGCTCAAGAAGCAGAGTGCTCTGGACTAGCTAGGCAATATACTACAACACAATTCTGATACTAACACCGAAATTAGTTGTCAGACAATACAGGTTAAGAGCATGGTTCCCAATCAGATTGCTCTCACTTTAAATCCCAGCTACAAGTTCAGCGGACCCAGACCACTCACACTTCTGACAAACTGCCTGCAAATCCTAAGGATTCCCATGACCTGCCTCATTGATAATTTGCTAGAATAACTCACAGAACCTAGGAAAGTGCTATACTACCTATTTCAGTTTTATTAAAGAGAATAAAATCAGGACCAGCTAAACGAAAAGGGCAAGGTCCCAAACACAGAGCCTCCATATCCTCTCCCCATGGAATTAGAACACATCACCCCCAGCACTCTCCCACACTCTGCCAGCACATCCATGTGTTCGCCAGCCAGGAAGCTCCATCAAGCTTTTATTGATGTATCTTTACATAGCCATGATTGATTGAATCATCAGCCACTTGACTGATCTCAATCTCAAGGTTTCCTTCCTGGGGCTGATATCACTAGTTTCAAAGCTGCAATCCTCTTACCATATTGTTGGTCTTAACCAGCACCATCCTGAGTCATCACCATAGCATAAACTCGGGTATGGTCCAACGGTCCGCCACAGATAGCAAAGGCACTTCTATCACTCACGAAATTCCAGGAGGTTAGAAACGCCATCCCAGGACACCAGGACAAAGATGAGACAAATTCTTCATTATCACCTTGATTCAATTTGGTAATTTGGTCGGATTTGGATCTCTCTCTTTATCTTGGCCTCAAGTAACCATGGAAATACTTTAGAGCATCTGAACAACTCCACACCAGCTAATCCTCTAACTCTCTTCTGCTTTTACAGGTACTCTGGTCCAGTCAAACAAAGGTAGGAGAAATTGCTTCTTTCTATAGTCAGATTCTGAAAATTTGGCTTCCTACAACAGTATTCCTGCAGGATTGAACAGTTTAGAATGAATAAAAGCATGGGGATAGATGGGTGATGTCTCTATTGTCAACCAAATCATTGGCCTGTCATAAACTGTTCTGAGCAGTTTTCCTGCAGCTAAGCATTTAACTGGTTTCTTACAGGAGAAACAGGACCCTAGTAGCTAGTCACATCTCAAATCGTGACCCATGAACCAGCAGTCATTGGTGTCACTTGGGATCCTGACCTCAATCTCTGTCAGTCCTTCTCTTTAGTTCATTCATTCTCTTCAAAGTGATCTCATCATCTGGTATGCTGTTAGCAGTTTCTTACCTGTATAGTATCTTCCAAATAACGTGCCCCTCAATCCCAAAGTTTTACCCCTACTAATTACAGCAATGTCTCTTTTATTCTTCACCTCCTGATGCAGATATTGGCATCACCTGGGAGCATGTTAGCAATGCAGAATATCTCCCCTCCCCAGAACTACTAAATAGCAACTGAAATTTTAACAAGATCCCCATGTGATTCACATGCCCATCAAAGTTTGAGAAGCATTACTCTAATGATCTCCTGGTATGCTGAAGCAGGGAGAATTTTAGAGGCAAGATTCTTAATAGAACCATGGCTTTTCCCATTTCAGGAAAACTCTTGCTCACGGTGGAGGACCGTCAAGAAGATGGTTCAGTACTTCTGACTTGTGAGGTGCAAGGCAAAAATATCACATGGTTTAAAGATGGGAAGATAATAAGCTTCCTACCTGCAAGTCAAAAAACATGGAATCTGGGAAGTAATACCAAGGACCCTCGAGGGATGTATCAATGTAAAGGATCAAAGGACAAGTCAAAACCACTGCAACTGTATTATAGAAGTATGTAATCCCCTCTTATTTATTTGTGGTGAAATTAATCAGTATTTGCTGTTCTGGCGGACTTTTTGTCTGGGGTAAAGGTGGAAACAGATGCTCAACAGAGATATTATCAGCAGTTCTCTTAATTTCAGCTTGCCTCTTTTTAAATATTATAAGATAGTTCCCTCACCCTATTGAAAAAGTACAGCCAGTCCTATAAAGCTTTGTTTACCTTTGGGTGGGCTCCATGGATTCAAGCAATTCAGCACCTTCCATAAACTGAGTGGAAGGGATTGGGGAGATGGAGCAATCACAAAATGAGCAGCAATGAGGACTGGAGCATAGTGGAGCATGAAGAGCATCGGGTCTTCCTTCTGTTCCACATACTTCCTGGTAGTTAGACTACCTGTGCTTCCCCAGGAATCCTGTGGGACTGAGGAACATCAAGATGCATTGAGTTTTGGCACAAGGATCTTCCCTTGCCCTGCTACCCACAGAGGAAAAGCCGGGGGCATTATTGCTTATAGGCAGAAGAAAAAGATACAGGAAGAACAACTTTCACACCCTGAAGGCTTGTCCCTCCTTTTCCCCACAGTGTGTCAGAACTGCATCGAACTAAGTGCAGCCACCATATCTGGCTTTGTCTTTGCTGAAATCATCAGCATTTTCTTCCTTGCTGTTGGGGTCTACTTCATTGCTGGACAGGATGGAGTTCACCAGTCAAGAGGTAAAAGAATGCTCTTAGATGAGCAATGGGACCACCTGAGACCATCAGCTTTCCTCCTACCATTACATACCCAATAGAAGAGACGGAGTTGGCACCTCTTGCTAATGTGCATAGTTGGGTGAGGCTGTATTTCTCTGAGACAGGAGAAAAGGATACTTGGTGTTACCACAGCATGTTCACCTATCTCAAGATATAACTCCCTCTGATTTAGCCTCTGTTTTTCTTTTAAAAAACTCTTTATTTTAAGCAAACCCTTACATATAGAAAAGTGACTCACAAGCATACAGCTAAAAAAAAAAAAAAAAAATTCGCAAAGCAAACATACCATGTAGCCAGCACACAATTTAAGAAAGAGAGTATTCCCAGTGCCATCAAAGCGCCTCCTGTGGTCACTTCCAGCCACTACCCATCCTCAAGAGTGAGCATTGTCCTGACTTCTAACAAGGATTAACTTTGCTTGTTTTTGTTCTTTATGTAAATAGACTCATATTGCCAAGTGTTCTTGTGAGTAGCTTCTTTCACTCAACAATATGCTCATGTGCTTCATCCATACTCTTGTGTTTATATAATTCTTATTGTTATTTAGTATTCTATTTTGTGAATATAACCCAATTTATTTTGCATTCTACCTTGTGTGTGTATTTTGTTTCTTTTTGTGCAGCTTCCGACAAACAGACTCTGTTGCCCAATGACCAGCTCTACCAGGTAAGGGGATGAAGAACCAAAGAGACATTGCTGTAATTAGTGGGGGTAAAACTTTGGGACTTGGGGGCTTATTATTTGGAAGATACTATACAGGTAAGAAACGGCTAACAGCAGACCAGATGATGAGTTCGCTTTGGGTAGAACAGGTGAACTGAAGAGAAGGATTGACAGAAACTGAAGTTAGGATCCAGTGAGCACAAGTTGAAGGACACACTGAGAAGGACATGCAAAGAAACTGTCAACAGGCCAGCCATGCACTATAGACAGGCTGTGGCTCATGCCTGTAATCCCAGCACTTTGGGAAGTTGAAACAGGCAGATCATCTGAGGCCAGGAGTTCAAGACAAGCCTGGCCAACATGATGAAATTCTGTCTCTACTAAAAATACAAAAAAAAAAAAAAAATTTAACCAGGCACGGTAGCATGTGCCTATAGTCCCAGCTACTCAGGAGGCTAAGGCAGAAGGACCACTTGAACCCAGGAGGTTGAGGTTGCAGTGAGCCAAGATCACACCACTGCACGCCAGCCTGGGGAACAGAGCAAGACTCTGTCAAAAAAAAAGAGAAAAGAAAAGAAATAAGACAGAGCCTCCATCTCCTTGTCCTCTTTCCATCCTCAGGACTATGAAGTACCCACTCCAAATTCTCACATATGAAAAACATTCAATAAATATACATCAAATTAATTAATAGAGGATGGAAAAAAATGACCTTATGACTGTGCTGTCCATTCCAGCCCCTCAAGGATCGAGAAGATGACCAGTATAGCCACCTTCAAGGAAACCAACTGAGGAGGAATTGAGCTAAGGACTCAGAATAGGTGGGTTCTTCAATGTCAATTCTAATAAAAGACCCTTGCATCAACTGCCATCCCAACTGCTACCAAGTCTATCTCCCTTCCCCAAGCAGCTATAAAGATCAGACTCTGGGGAATCAGGGATTGGGGGGTGTTCTAGGGGGCTCTTTTGTAAAAACTCTGGGGCCATACTGATTGTCTTGGCCTAAGAAAATAAAGAATTTTGTGTATCTGTAAGTCCTGTCAGAGCAGGGCCTCAAGTCATACAGATGCTGAATATTAATCTTAACCTGTATTAGAATTTCTCATTATCTACACTATTAACATTTTGGGCTAATTAAATATTTGTGATGAGGGGCTAGTCTGTGCATTGTAGGAGTTATGGAAGCATTCCTGGCATCTCTCCACCACATGCCAGTAGATTGTCCAGTGTGACAATCAAAAATGTGTCCAGACATTACTAAATGTGTCCAAACATCACCTCCAGGGCAAACTCACCCTTAGTTAAGAACCACTAGCTTGGCCGGGTGCGGTGGCTCACTCTTGTAATACCAGCACTTTGGGAGGCTGAGGTGAGTGGATCACAAGGTCAAGAGATCGAGACCATCCTGGTCAACCTGGTGAAACCCCATCTCTACTAAAAATACAAAAAATTAGCTGGGCATGGTGGCACGTGCCTGTAGTCCCAACTACTCAGGAGGCTGAGGCAGGAGAATTGCTTGAACCCAGGAGGTGGAGATTGTGGTGAGCCGAGGTCGCGCCACTGCACTCCAGCCTGGGTAAGAAGAGCGAAACTCCGTCTCAAAAAAAAAAAAAAAGAAGCACTAGCTTATATTAACCTTCCAATTAACAAATCAATCAGTCAGAAGTTATGATTCAATTAATCTGTCTGAAGATTCTATTACGAAGACAGGGTTGAAAGCATTATTTGGTTTTTTGAACCAATTGCAATTTTTCTTTTTTCAATCCAGGTGTTCTTCTTCTTTCCAGTTCTCAGAATCAAAGTAATACATTTTGGAAAGCTCCTAGCAGAGAGACCTTCAACCCTAAATCTCGACTCAAGGTTCCCAGAGGTGACAAATGGAGAAAAAAGGCCATCAGAGCAAATTTGGGGTATTCGCAAATAAAATAAAATAAAATAACAAGTATGGTGTTTCAGAAGCGCCACCTATTGGGGAAAATTGTAAAAGAAAAACAAAAAGATCAAGTAACCCCCTCGATTTGAATGTAGTTTTTTGCGTTGTAATTTTTATTTCGTTTTTGTATAGGTCATAATTAACACGGTTCAAATATGCAATGAAAGATCTCTCTCCACCGCCATCCCCTGCGACCCAGTTGCCCTATCCAGAGACAAACTAGTTTCTCTCTTTTTTTTTGAGACAGAGTTTCACTCTGTCTCCCAGGCTACAGTGCAGTGGTGCAATCTTAGCTCACTGAACCTGGGTTCAAGCAATCTTCCTGTCTCAGCTTCCCCAGTAAGTAGCTGAGATTGCAGGCGTACACCACCAGGCCCGGCTAAACTTGTTTCGAACTCCTGACCTCAGGTGATCCACCCACCTCGGCCTCCCAAAGTGCTGGGATTACATATGTGAGCCACCATGCCTGGCCTTAAAACTAGTTTCTTATAGATCTCTCTAGAGACATTCTAGGCATATATGAGCACACTCTCAAATACATATTATCCTCTCTCCCCCTATCTTTTAGACAAATGATATCAAACTATACACCTTATGAGATTATTGCATACCATTACATAAAGAACTTCTTTCTTAATGCAGCCATATTGTATAAGTAGACTATGATTCATTTAACCTGCTATCCATGGATATTCAAGTTGGTTCCAATCTTTTGCTCTTACAATTCTGTAATGACTAACATTGTATAAATATCATTTTTTTTAAATAATTGCATTGAAGCATAATTTACATGCCATAAAATCCACCCATCTTAAGTGATTTCACCTGTTCTCAACATTTTTCAGTAAATTTAACTAGTTGTACAACCATCACCATGATCCGGCTTTAGGGCTTTAGGGCTTTTTTTTTCTTACGGAGTCTTGCTCTGTGGCCCAGGCTGAAGTGCAGTGGTGTGATCTCAACTCATTGCAACCTCCACCTCTTGAGTTCCAGCGATTATCCTACCCTCCCGAGTAGCTGAGACCTCAGGCATGTGCCACCATGCCCTGCTCATTGTTTTGTGTATTTAGTAAAGACAGAGTTTTACGGTGTTGGCCAGGCTGGTCCCAAATTCCTGACCTCAAATGATCCACCTGCCTCATCCTCCCAAAGTGCTGAGATTACAGGTATGAGCTACCACACCCGGCCCAAAACTGTATTTGAATATACCTGTTCTGTGGGTTTAATATGATATTTTATTGCTGTCTTGATCTGCATTTCCCTAGAGACTAACCATTAAGTGTCTTTTCATATGTTTGTGAACCATTCATATGTTTTTAGTGAAATGTCTCTTCAAATCTTTTGCCCATTTTCAAGTTGTTTTATTTGTTTGTCTTCTCACTATTGCATTGCATATATTTTTGATATAAGTCCCTTATCAGATATATGATTTGGAAGTATTTTCTATCAATCTGTGGTTTGTTTTTCTTAATGGTATCTTTTGAAGTGCAAAAGGTTTACATTTTGAAGTACCTTTTATCGATTTTTTTTCTCCTATATATTGTGCTTTTGGTATCATGTCTAAGAAATCTTTACCAAAGCCACAGTTACAAAGATTTTCTCTTATGTTTTCTTTCTGTAGTTTTTAGTTTTATGGTTTTAGTGCCAACAATAAATATCATTTTGAACATACATAAGACTATTTGTAACAAATACAAATAAATGGAATTGTTGGGCACTTGAATTTGCATTTGTAATTTTATTAACTATTGCCAAATTTAACCTTATAGAGGTTGTAAACACACACAAGCAAGAATATATATATATATTTGAGACAGGGTCTTGCTCTATGGTGAAGGCTGGAGTGTAGTGGCATGACATTGGCTCACTGCAGCCTCAACTACCCAGTCTCAAGCAATCCTCCCACCTCAGTCTCCTGAGTAGCTGAGACTTCAGGCGTGTGCCACTATATCCAGCTAATTGTTTAATTTTATTTTTATAGAGACAGGGTCTCATTATGTTGCCCAGACCAGCTCAAAGTTAGTCTCAAACTCTCGGGGCAAGTGATCCTCCCACTTCCTCCTCCCAAAGTGCTGGGATTAAAGGTGTGAGTCACTGTGCACAGCCAGGTTGTACCAATATATATTACCAATGACAATAAACAAAATGCCTGTTACTCCATACATGTTCCAACAGTCTATTATTAAACTTTTGAATCATGCCAACCTGAACAGCATCTCACTATAATTTGTTTACATTTTTCTTATTAAAAATCGTTGGCTGAGCACGGTGGCCCACACCTGCAATCCCAGCACTTTGGGAGGCCGAGGTAGAAGGATCACCTGAGGCCAGGAGTTTGAGACCAGCCTGGCCAACATGGCAAAACCCCATCTCTACTAAAAATACAAAAAATTAGCCAGGCATGGTGGTGAGTGCCTGTAATCTCAGGTACCCAGGAGGCTGAGGCAGGAGAACTGCTTGAACCTGGGAGGTGGAGGCTGCAGTGAGCTGAGATTACAACATTGCACTCTAAGCTGAACAGCAAGAGCAAAACTCTGTCTCAAAAAACAAAAAGAAAAAAAATGGAGTAAACTGTTTTTCCTTCCCATGATATATAAGTTCACATCTTTGATCTTTTTCTTATTGACTTACACTAACTCCTTACATGTTTGGGAAACTAGATCTTTTGTGATATTAGTTGCAAGACTTTTTCCAACCTTATGTATCTTTTTTTTTTTACTTTGCTTATGGTTAGTTTTCCACGCATATTTTACAAATATTTGCATATAGTAGAATTCACTGGTCTCTTATGGTCTCTAGGTTATGTTTCATATTTAAAAAGTCTTCCTCCATTTCCTCCATTTTAAGATTATCCTTTTTAAAAAGTTCCCCCATGAATTCCTCTAGCATGTTTATGGTTTTATTTTATGCATTTATATATTTGACCCATCTTGAATTGATTTTAGCATCAGATCTAATGTAGTAACCAACTTTAAATACAGATAGTTACCCAATTATTCCAGAAATATTATTGAATGATTCATTCTGTGTTCATTAATTTTAAATGCTGTTACAACCCCACTCACCAGATTATAAACTCCAGGAAGGAAAAGACTTAACGGTTTTTCACTATGGTATTGTGAGGAACTAGAACAGTGGTAGGCACACAAAGATTGCCCAGGGCTTTAATAGATATAACCTAAAATTTATGATTTTAAACTTTTTTTGAAAAGATAAAGTCTTACTCTGTCATCCAGGGTGGAGTGCAGAGGCACAATCTCAGCTCACTGCAACCTCTGCCTCCCAGGTTCAAGCGATTCTCCTGCTTCAGCCTCCCAAGTAGCTGAGATTACAGGCGTACATCAACACGCCTGGCTAATTTTTGTATTTTTACAAGAGACAGGGTTCCACCCTGTTGGCCAGGCTGGTTTTGAACTCCTGACCTCAAGTGATCTGCCCACCTCTGCTTCCCAAAGTTCTGGAATTACAGGCATCAGCCACTGCACCCAACCCCATTTTAACCATTTTTAAGTGCACCATTCAATGGCATTAGATATATTCACAATGTGTAGCCATCATCACTATCCATTTTCAGAACTTTTTCATCATCCTAAACAGAAACTCAGTACCCATTAGATAATAACTACCATTCCCCTCTCTCTCCAATCCGTGGTGACGTCTATTATACTTTCTCTCTCAAGGAATATGCCTATTCTGGGTACCACAGAAAAATTGAATCATACAGTATTTAGTCCTTTCTGTCTGTCTCATTTCACTTAGCATAACTTTTTCAAGGTTCTTCAATGTTGTAGCATGTATCAGAACTTCATTGTGTTTATGCATTCATCTGCTGATGGATATTCTGAGTTGTTTCTACCTTTTGGCTTATTACAAATACTGCTGCTGTAAACATAGGTATACAGGTTTCTGAGTTCCTGCTTTCAGTTATTTTGAACATCTACATCAAAGCAGAACTGCTTAATTATATGGTTATACTATATTTAACTTTTTGAGGAATTATCAAACTGTTTTTCCAAAAAGTCTGGACTGTTTAACATTGCCATCAGCAATGCATAAGGGTTCCAATTTCTCCACATCTGCCAATAATTACTTGCCTATTTATTTATTTATTTGAGAAGAGTCTTGCTCTGTCACCCAGGCTGGAATGCAGAAGTGCAGTCTTGTAGCCTCCACCTCCTGGGTTCAAGTAATTCTCCTGCCTCAGCCTCCTGAATAGCTGGGACTTCAGAGGCGTGCCACCGCGCCCAGCTAAGTTTTCTATTTTTAGTACAGATGAGGTTTTACCATGTTGACCAGGATGGTCTCAATCTCCTGACTTCGTGATCCACCTGCCTCAGCGCCCCAAAGTGCTGGACCTGGCTGCCCTTTTTTTTTTTTTTTATAATAGCCATCTTAGTAGGTATGAAGCAGTATCTCAGGATTTTTATTTTCATTTCCCTAAAGACTAGTGATGTTGAGCATTCTTTCACATGCTTATCCACCATTTGTACAGTTGGCACTCCATATCCGCGGGCTCTGCATCTGTGGATTCAACCAACCATGAATTGGAAATATTTTAAAACAGATTTCATCTGTACTGAACATGTACAGACTTTTTGATATTATTCCCTAAACAATACAATACTATTTAGATTTACATTGTATTAGGTATTATAAGTGATCTAGAGATGACTTAAAGTACACAGAGAGATGTGCATAGGTAATACGCAAATATTGCATTATTTTATATAAGGAACTTGAGCTTCCATGGATTTTGGCACCCGAGGTGGTACTGAAACAAATCTCCCACAGATACCAAGTGCATAGTCATTCCCTTGGAATATATATTCTTTGGAGAAATGTCTATTCAAGTCCTTTGCTCCTTTTTGAACTAAACTGTTTGGGAGTTTTTCGTTCTTGTAGTTTTTTATATATTCCAGATAGTAATCATTTAACTGATATACGAGTTGCAACTATTTTCTCTTATTCTGTGAATTGTTTTTTTACTTGCACAGCGCTTTTAACTCTTGAAAAGTATGCTGTTTCTATTATGGGTATCTCGAAACAATCTTGTAGGATGTATACTGTCTCCACTTTACAGACAAGAAAACTGAAATCCAGTCAAAGATAACACACTCCAAAGATTCCTCCAAAGATAGTGTTATCCCTTCGAGAGTAACAGAAGCTTCTTTAAAAAGGTCTCGGACTGGAGGGAAAATAGAGCAAATTCCCAACAGAGGTTGCGAGCAGAGCCGAGGATCACAGAGTTTTATCTGCCCTCGATACTCTGTTTTCCAAAACCCAGCCTCATATTCTAGTCTTCAAAGCGAACTGCCAGGTAAACCAACTCGTCCCACAGTCCGATCCCAAAGCCACTTCCTGCCACTTCCGCCCTGCCTCCAGTCAGCCGTTAATAAGCTAGCGCATGCGGTGTAAGAGTATTTGAGCGCCGGTCGCCGGTGTGAGCCTGCATATCGTGCTTCCGGCGCGGAGATGAACTTCCACAAGCCGCGGCACTTAGTGATGATGTAACTTCCGGTTACTGTGCTGAGTCGGAAGTGGGAACCCTTCGGCCGCTTAGATTCTGTTGTGTCGTCGCTGCTGGCCCTTCAGGCTCTGGTAAGACTGGAGACAGCCTCAGGAGAGGACGTCGTTGACTTTGCATTGTGATATTTTCTGCTAGTCCAATGCCATTTCAGGCCTGTTCACTCTTACCTTCTCCAAATTCTTTCTTCTGTGCTTTCCTAACCAGGGACCTTCTCCTTCTTGAACTTCGACCCTGTCTGATTTGGAACCCCTTACAGTGCCCCAGCTTCTGATGTCTCTCTGTACATTTCTTTCCCCAACTTTGCCAAGCCCTTCCCGGAAGAGGCCGGAGCGCTGTCATCGTATTATCTTATGACTTACTTTCTCTAGAACGTGCCCCGGGCGGGTGGATCTCCCTCCTTCCCGCGAATCCTTTATGGAACGTGGAAGGATAAAATATAGTAGATAGCAAATAGGCAGATGCAAAAAAGATAAGATTAATCGCGAGTCATAAGCAAACCAGTTGAATGCATACATCAGGATGTTGACATTTCTTAAGGCAGGTGATGAGTTCACCACAGATAACTCTTGGGGCACTTTGCTTCATGTTTCCTTGGATTTAGAAGACACTTCTAAAGTTGAGTGACCACACCTCATGAGCTTATATTTGATGAATCTTCCCTTTAGAATCAGTTTTATGGTCTGAGAGCAAGCATATGTTTAGTCTTGCTGTCATTTACTGTTTTGGCCTCACGTGGAAACCTGCAATAAGTCGGGATCCAAGAAGGACTGCTGTTTGCTTTTTGACTTGAGATCCTTCTAGGCTGCAGACAGATGTGCTGATGGAATTTGTTGCCATATTAGCATGGCCCAATAGTGTTGGGTGAAACATATGACAACGAAAATGGTTTTTTAATTTCTATTTTAATTTATTTGTCAGGACAGAGACCTTGTGAGAGTATGATTTGATAAAGCTTGATTTTTGACAATCCCAGTTTTACAAAGTGTTTCAGATATTCCTGTTTAAAAACAATACCAAGTCTTATGTTAATACGTTGTGTGTTCATGAGAGCTGACAGTGGTCTTAAAGGATTAGTGATACTGTTTATAAACAAAAGCTTGAATCAGGAGGAGGTGACAATTTTGTGGGACAGCTATTATAGATCTTTGCAGCAAGTATATCAAAGTGAAATTTGTTTTCAAGGAGGATATATTTTAAAAGAATCAAATCCAGAAGCTTCTAAGGATTGGTAGTTGTACCATCCCTAAGTCTGACAACAGGATAGTGTCGTATCTCTGTATGACAGTTGAAAATAGGAAACTATATGTATATATATATGGTTTGGTTTTGTTTTATTTTTTATTTATTTATTTATTTTTTTTTTTAGACAGAGTCTGGCTTTTTCGCCCAGGCTCTGCTGTGGAGTGCAATAGCATGATCTCAGCTCACTGCAGCCTCCACCTCCTGGTTTAAAGTGATTGTCCTGCCTCAGCCCCCCAAGTAGCTGGGATTACAGGTGAACACCACCATGCCTGGCTATTTTTTGTAGAAACGGGGTTTCACCACATTGGCCAGGCTGGTCTCAAACTCCTGACCTCAAGTGATCTGTCCACCTTGGCCTCCCAAAGTGCTGGGATTACAGGCGTGACCCACTGTACCCAGCCCTGAAAAGAGGAGATTATAAATCCCGAGTGACATTGTTGAATATGAAAACAAAATACGAAGTTTCCATTTTATCAGACCTTTAGAGTGGGTGAATATCTAGGTACTCTTATTTACATTGGTAAGTCCATTGAACAGATCTAAACTGACATCTCCACAAAGGTTCTCATCAAGTGATCAGTCCTCCTTTTTCCTGTAGAAATTTTCTATAAATGACTACACAGTTTTAGCCCTTATTTATGAAAAAAAGTTTATGTACCGATTTGACATACATGTGAAAAAGATTAGCTTAGTGAAAAGTAGGTGAGAATCTTTTTGTTTTTCAGAGATAGTAGAGATGACAACAGAGTCTTATTTCCATCCACCATTCTACACATCCAAGATACCAAAGAACCAGTGTCTAGCCTGGTAGCTTGACCTTCCACTGCAACCTAAGACAAGTACTAAAGTCCTTACCTTGAAGTAGGATCATGGGTGATGCTGTTGACTACAAGGAGTTCAGAAAGAACTACCTGTAAGATTGAAGCCATTCATTAACTATTTAGGATTTTGTGATTGTGATGTATAATGCCAGACACAGAAGACAGAATAATCAGATATGAACATGTACTCAAAAAAGCTTACAGTCTAGCAATGTAGAAGATCTGTTTAGGAATACAATGCAGAAAGTTTAAAATCCTAGCAAAAATATAGGTAAAATGTAGTAGGAAGCTAGCTTCTTTATACAGTACAACAATATAGGATTGGGAAAGAAGGAAGTAATGCCATTTATGGTGATAAATTCTTTTTTAGTTCTCCTGATAGTATTTTTTTTTTTTTTTTTTTTTTGAGACGGAGTCTCGCTCTGTTGCCCAGCTGGAGTGCAGTGGCGCGATCTTGGCTTACTACAAACTCTGCTTCCCAGGTTCAAGTGATACTCCTGCCTCAGCCTCCTGGGTAGCTGGGATTACACACGCATGTCACCACACCTGGCTAATTTTTTTTGTATTTTTGGTAGAGACGGGGTTTCACCATGTTGGTCAGGCTGGTCTCAAACTTCTGACCTGTGATCTGCCCACCTTGGCCTCCCAAAATGCTGGGATTACAGGCATGAGCCACTGCGCCTGGCCTTATCGATAGTCTTAAGAGCCTCTCTGTCGTATGTCCTATATTCCTGGCTTTCAGCTTCCTTTCTGCTTATGTGTTGCAGGTGATGCATGTCCTTTGTAATAATCTAGACACTTTTCAGTTGTGTTTTTTAAAAAATCAAACTGGTTTAGGCATTTAGGGAAATTTTATTTGTTTTTATAACTGAAAAATCCAGACTTCTCTTTCCATCTCTCAGTTCTATTTTCTTCTGTATGTTGGCTTAGTTTTAGGCTAGGCCTTTTCTAAATGGTGTAAAGATGGCAACTCTAGGCTTATATCTTACCAGCCTAGCAACTCAAGCAGGAAAAAACTCCCTTTTCTGTAGATTCAACTGAAGTCCTGAAGCTGGTATTCATTGACTCTGTTAGGCCTCTGTAGTGTCTTGCGTCCACTCCTAGATCAATGCTTTGGCCAGAAAATGCTGTACTCTTTTTAGCCTGGCCACACCCGTATGTTCATTCCTGGGGTGAGGTCAACCTCTCCTGAACATATGGATTGAGTGGAGTGGATACCCAAAGGAAAAAATGGATGTGATGTTTTAGAGACAGAAATAGCAAGAGTTCACTATACTTTTTGCATTCCTTTGGAATTCAGGGTATTTTAGGATGGAAGTAAAATGGTGTCAGCTAACAATAGGACAGTTCTTATTGGATTTACATTAATTAGAGGTAATAATTAAACTTATGCAGTAATTACATGGGGAAAATCCCTCTCTTTAATTCCTAAATACTAAATAGGGTATCTTTCCCTTTTTTGCATTATTAAGCTTGACTAAATATACATAGCAAAAAATAAAATATACAAGGCCAGGCGCAGTGACTCATGCCTATAATCCCAGCACTTTGGGAGGCCAAGGTGGGAGAATCACTTGTGGTCAGGAGTTTGAGACCAGCCTGGCCAACATGGTGAAACCCCACCTCTACTAAAAATACAAATAACAGTTCAGTTCCTTGAAACAGTAAAGCTCTGAGCTGTGCCAAGAAGAGACTAGACTCTGCCTAAATCATTACAGCTAAGTGGCCATTAACTCTTGTGTAGAAAACAATGACGAGGAGCATGGAGCAAGTGCTGAAGATGCCTCAGAATTGTCAAGAAGTGTTATAAATAATCTCTCTTTCTGCAGTAAATAAGGGTAACTTTTTCCACCATATTAGCTTTTGTTTTTTTGAGACAGAGTCTCACTCTGTCACCTAGGTTGGAGTGCAGTGTGTCAGTCTCAGCTTTCTGCAACCTCCACCTCCCAGGTTCACGAGATTCTTCTGCCTTAGCCTCCCGAGTATCTGGGATTACAGGTGCCCACCACCACAACCAGCTAATTTTTGTGTTTTAGTAGAGATGGGGTTTCACCATGTTGGCCAAGCTTGTCTTGAACTCCTGACCTCAGGTGATCCACCTGCCTCAGCCTCCCAAGGTGCTGGGATTGCAGGCGTGAGCCACTGCACCTAGCCCACGTTAACTTTTGTTAATATGATCCTGTGAGGAGAGTCTTGCCTCAGTAAACTAAAGGTGGACCAAGTGTTCTTTTCTTCTTCTTCCTTTATACCTCTACCCCCGCTATTTCTAAGGTCTCTGTCCTTGTAACAGTTCAGGATTCTTGTGAGCAAAACATTCATACTCTTTGTCTCTTCCCACTCTTTTCAGGCTTGTATTTAATATTTCTATGTCACAGCCTTAAAATTTCAGAAAGGGGAGAAAGTCTTTCAGGGAGCTCTGCTTATTCTGTTGTGCCTCTGAGTTCACTTGGTCTCTAATGAGGAGACGTAATCAGAAGAGTATGAATGCAGGCTCATCAGCTCTATGAAACACTTTTGAGGTATACACATTTCATATTACATGGTAGACCTGACAGTTGGAATTTGCATTTGCTTCAGTATTATTTTTAAAAATCAGGTAAACAGTGAAGGTTAGATACAGCATGAAGCAAAGACCAGTTAATTTTTAGTGGAAGAAATATCAGTAGTATTACTCCTAGAATAAAAATAAATAGATTGCTTAATCTATGTTGAAAACCCATAACATACAGCTAAACTGCTTCCAATCCTGATTTGCCAGTCCACATTTAAGATATGGGCTTTCACTGAATTTATATGTAGCTGAGGAATTTTCAGCTCCAGACCAGCCCTAAGTCATAGAAGTGCCTTGTCCTCCCCACAGTGAATGAGAACTAGACTGCCAGCTTAAAGACTTGGGAAATCCATAATTCTTGTCTTATTATTTCTCAGTGTCACATTGTTGTTACCATTGATAGGTGAGTTCTCTCTTTTACTTCAATAATTCTTTCTACTTAACCTATTTTCTTAAAGGTATAGCAAATAAAAACATATCAACAGATATATGCATTCCAGCTGAACATGTTTTAGGCTTTTTCATTTTAGCTATCCCCAAATCAAGCCACCAAGTCCAGCTGGTAGGTTTGTAACCATTTTGCCAAAAATGTCTTGAGTTTGGGGACGGGAATTGGAAAAATCTTAACCCAAAGTCTTTTTAAATGTATTGTATTTGAGAAATGGAAGAAGAAACAACCACAGGTATTGTGTTATCTGCCCTCTTGTGTCTAATACCTGTCCTTTGAACATCCCCTCCCCCAGGTCTGGATGGAGGATACCTTAAAGTGAAATGACAGACCAGGAGAATAACAACAACATCTCAAGTAACCCCTTTGCTGCTCTTTTTGGCTCCCTGGCTGATGCCAAACAGTTTGCGGCAATCCAAAAAGAGCAGCTGAAGCAACAATCTGGTAAGTGGAGGAGCCAATAGCAGCAGATAAGATGACCTAGAATGGGGTCTTCCCAAATTAGGTATTCTTTGAGTCCTTAATTGCAATGGGAATTTAAGTTTGGGACAAAAGTTGGCTTTTGTTTGTTTAGAACAGAAATTGGTTTTTTTGTTGTTTTTGTTGTTGGTTTTGTTTTGAGACCCTCCCCTCCCCATCCTCTCCACTTACAAAAAGAGACCAGATAACAGGTGGTTCCATAGTAACAGATGCCAGTCGTGATCCCCAAGCTGTCAGGCTGTTTTCTGTAAAAGGAAACAAATCACCTAGTAAAAGCTATATAAATAAATCTCGTTAACATAGGACAGTGTGGAAAGCAAGTCATGTGCAGCCATAGAAAGCAGCTGTGAAAGGAAGAATTGTAAAAGCTTTTGGACCTGTAGGCAAATGAGATTTGTTCTAAAGCTCAGCACTTCAGAGGTCCTCCCAAGCAAAGTGCTTCATCTGTTCCAACGAGTGGCATTGTTTGTAGCTTAGCCCCATTCGGAGAGACTTTAAAAAATCTGATCCTTAGCTTTACTGTGATGAAAAGAATCAGAATAACATCTCAGTAATCGGAAAAAATGCTTTTCTTCCCAGGACCAAGTTTAAGATCAAGTCCAGCTTCTTCCTATGAGGAAACATAGACACTAAAAGAATTAGGTGTTCTCAAATATTTTAATCTTCTGAAGATACTCACAGTCTTTCAGAAGAGAAATTGCTCCCCTTCTCCTCTCTCCAAAAAGAATAATGATGTTTTTCTTTTGAGAGAAGAAGTATTTGCATTTTCCCTTTATTTATTTTTTTTAAAAATATTCAGGTGCATAGTTGACTTGTGGCCTTACTTTCAATCAGAAAAAGTTGAAGAAAAAAGAGGTAAAGGCAAGACAGATGAATGATTGATAGACAGGGTGGTGACTGAAGCAAGGGAAAAACAAATTCAGTGTTGATTTTTTTTAACATTGTATTTCCAGTCTCTGAAATCTCTCCCAGATTGCTTTGATACAGGCCCAGAATGGGAAACTCTGGTTTCAGGGAGAAAGCAGAGTGAAAAATAGGAAAAATAAAGAAATGAGAAAGTATGATTTATAAGTATGTGATTGAGGGAACATTTGCTGAACAGATTATTAGCTTCTGTCGCCATTGGAGGTCAGAGGAGAATTCAATAGTATAGTAGCTGAGCAACAGAACACTTGTCCTTCTGGCTGTAAACAGACATAAAGCTGGCTAGAGTTGAGAGCATTGCAGGCACCAAGCAGTGGGGACAAGTCAGGCACATGCCCTTCTGTTACTATTTTGGCACCTCATCATCCTACTTTGTTTACACTGAGTTTATCATGCCACCAGGTCCAACCTGTTTCCATTAGCAATTAGTACTTTGCCAAAACCTTTGGCTTCCTATATTGAGCTTTTACTCACTACACTAAAGCAACTCCGACTTTGAGAGTTTTACCTGGACTTTCAGAGTAACCATTCTGTCAACAGAGAAAAGTAGATATAGACTCATATGTGGCATATAGTGAATAACACTACTTTTATGAAGTCGTTCAGCATGAATGATGTGACCAGTTGCGGAGGCTCATGCCTGTAACCCCAGCACTTTGGGAGGCCTAGGTGGGCACATCACCTGAGGTCAGGAGTTCGAGACCAGCCTGGCCGACATAACAAAACCCCATCTCTACTAAAAACACAAAAATTAGCCAGGCGTGATGGTAGGTGCCTGTAATTTCAGCACTTTGGGAGACCAAGGTAGGTAAGTTACCTGGGGACAGAAGTTCAAGACCAGCCTGGCTAACATGGTAAAACCCCATCTCTACTAAAAATACAAAAATTAGCCAGGTGTGGAGGTGGGCACCTGTAGTTCCAGCTCCTCAGGAAGCTGAGGCAGGAGAATTGCTTGAACCTTTGAACCCGGGAGGTGGAGGTTGGAGTGAACCAAGATTGTGCCACTGTACTCCAGCTTGGGCAATAGAGCAAGACTCCATCTAAAAAAAAAAATCAAAAAAAAGGATATGAGCAGATTTTGAGGACAGAAGTTTTTTAAAAATAAAAATAAGGCTGGGCATGGTGGCTCATGCCTGTAATCCCAGCACTTTGGGAGGCCAAGGCAGGCAGACAGCCTGAGGTCAGGAGATCAAGACCAGCCTGGCCAACATGGTGAAGCCCTGTCTCTCCTAAAAATACAAAAAATTAGCCAGACATGGTGACCAGTGTCTGACCTCAGCTACTCAGGAGGCTGAGGCAGGATAATTGCTTGAACCAGGGAGGCGGAGGCTGCAGTGAGTCGAGATCATGCCATTGCAGTCCAGCCTGGGCAACAAGAGCAAAACTCCTTCTAAAAAAAATTTAAAAATAAAAATAAAAGGGGGCTGTTCCTGGAGGCCAGTGGCATGGAGCCCCATGCCCGGCTTCCCCAGCCTTGCGGGGCTGCCAGGCCTGCGCACCGCTGCCGACACCTGATTGCAGGCTCATAGGAGGAAGGGACTTGACTTGTCTCAGATAATTTTAATTTTGTGAAGCATCTGACATCTGCCTGTCCAAATGTATATAGTATATCACAGTTTCATCATGCAACCCCGGACAATAAAACACACAGTGGTGAGAAGTACACTGATCTTTTCAAACTCAGTTGGAGAGACTTGAAAGGTCTAAATGAGGACATTAGAAAGGAACTGCTCCTGTCAACATTAGAACTTAAGGAAATGTCTGAGTAGTACTTTGATGGAAGAGGGAAAGCCTTCCGACTGATTATTGTGGCACTAATGGACCAAGCATTCGGTATTCATCATGACAACTCCCGACATGTACAAGCCAGCCAGCGCACCATAGCCTTAATTCCAGAAATGATTCACATTGCTAGTCTGGTTCATGATTATGTTACTGGCGATGCAAGTTCTTGAAGAGCAAAACACACAGTTAATAAGATCTGGGGTGAAAAGAAGGCTGTTCTTGCTGGAGACCTAACTCTTTCTGCAGCATCTATAGCTCTGGCACAAACTGGAAATAAAACTGTTGTATCTATTTTAACCCAAGTTATTGAAGATTTGGTGCATGGTGAATTTCTTCAGCTTGGGTCAAAAGAAAATGAGAATGAAAGATTTGCACACTACCTTGAAAAGACCTTTAAGAAGACTGCCAGCTTGATAGCCAACAGTTGTAAAGCAGTCTCTGTTCTAGGATGCCCCGGCCCAGTGGTGCATAAGATCACCTATCAGTATGGAAAAGTAGGAACAACTTTTTAGCTAATAGATGATGTATTGGACCTCACCTCATGTTCTGACCAGATGGGCAAACCAACATCAGCTGATCTGAAGCTTGGGTTAGCCACTGGTCCTGTCCTGTTGCCTGTCAGCAGTTCCTAGAAATGAATGCTCTGATCATGAGACAGTTCAGTTTGCCTGGAGATGTAGACAGAGCTCGACAGTATGTGTTACAGAGTGATGGTGTGCAACAAACAACCTACCTCACCCAGCAGTACTACCACGAAGTGATAAGAGAGATCAGTAAACTTCGACCATCCCCAGAAAGAGATACCCTCATTCAACTTTCAGAAATTGTACTCACAAGAGATAAATGACTGTTCTTTCTGGCAGCCGTCTTACCAGACTGTGCCTAAAGAATTTTATGGAATACACTTTATTTGCTTCATGTGCAGATAAACAAAAATCATTTTAAAAGATATCAAACTTATTGATGGGCAATTTATTTTTTTTAATTGCAAAAGTTTTTTCAGAAAACTTTTTAAATGTAATTAAACCATCTGAATCTGTCATTTAGTCCTATAAATTCTAATCGAGCTATTTTGATGGTTATATGTGGTATTGTTTACACTGTTCATATCCACATGTAAGGCCATTACACAAATAATTTATGTTAAAATTCAAAAAAAAAATACAATTAAAATTAAACCGAAGGAATTTCATCAATAAGAAAAATGTAACAAGAAAGAAGAAAAAAGGTATAAGAGATGTGACAGGCAACTTATGTATGATAACCAAATGATTAAAAAATTTGTTCTCATGAATCATTAGAGAAATGCCAACTAAAACAACATTTATAATTAAATAGTTTTTACCTATAAAATTTGTGAAGAGTCAAACGGGCACTCTCTCATATACTGTTGGGTTGGCATGTAAATCGGAACAGTCTCTTTGAGGGTAAATTGGTAGTAAATGTTAACTTTTTAAATGTTCGAGCTCTTTGATCCAGCAGTTCTACGGCTCTGAATTTCTCCTATAGAAATACTCATACAAGTGAACAAAAAGAGTTAAGTTGTACTGAGTGCAGTATTTAAAATCATAAAATATTAGAAACAACTCTATTGTTCATCGGTTGAAAAGTGGCTCCATAAAATCACAGTGCATGCAAAAGATGCGATACAATACAGCTGTTGAAAAGAGTGAGGTAGGCCTCTAAATGGCCTAATGGGGAAAGGTGTTGGTGCTGAATAACAGGCAAGCTGAAAAGAGCTGTGCATAGTATTTTTTTAATTAAAAAGCATAGTAATGAATATTAGCAATAGAATAGAAAAAAATTCTGGAACACTGCTAAGTTAAGCGTCTTAGGGAATTGGTTCAAGAGACTTTCTATACTATATTTTTTTGTACAGTTAAGAACTATTAAAACAAATGTGATCTCTTAAAATCAGGGAGAAAAACCATACATTTATAATAATTAAAGGCATTTTGATCTATTAGGTCATTCTTGTTCACTAGGATTCTGTAGGGAAGATAACATTACTATTTCTGGCAGTGTGAAGTATAATTATGGGTAGAAATAAAACTTTTGCTTTGTAAAATGTGGTAGGACTTATAGCCAGGAATTTTAAAACCTATACTTATCTTCCCTGACTTGAGATGCTCACTAATTAGATGATTAGCTTGTTTTACATCCGAAATTATCGTCCGCTTGGTTACATTTATTATTTTTGGTAGTATGCTTGATTCTCTCTTAACAAAAGGGGTGTAACATTTAACAGTATACATTTTTTGGCAGATGAACTCCCAGCTAGCCCAGATGACTCGGATAATAGTGTGTCAGAGAGCCTGGATGAATTTGATTACTCTGTGGCTGAGATTAGCCGCTCATTCCGATCACAGCAGGAAATATGTGAGCAACTCAACATCAATCACATGATCCAAAGGATCTTCCTTATCACTCTGGACAACAGTGAGTTACAAACTTACAGTCTCTTCATTATTCTACCCTTCCTATTTGAACTTGGGCTAGGGGCTTGCTCTTAGAAAGCAATTACAGCTGATGGTTACAAACCTACTCACTGCCCTCCTTGGAACTCAGGGTTTATATTTCAGTGAACCTTTTGGTATGACTTAAAAACAGCATTAGGCCAGGCAAGGTGGCTCATACCTTATAATCCCAGCACTTTGGGAGGTCGAGGTGGGTGGATCACCTGAGGTTGAGAGTTTGAGATCAGCCTGACCAACATGGAGAAACACTGTCTCTACTGAATAATACAAAATTAGCCAGGTGTGATGGCTCATGCCTGTAATCCCAGCTACTCTAGAGGCAGGTGGAGGTTGTGGTGTGCCGAAATCGTGCTATTATTGCACTCCAGCCGGGGCAACAAGAGTAGAACTCTGTCAAAAAAAAAAAAAAAGTATTTACACACAGATCTAACTTTTCTTCCCATTTCAATACTGACTATGCTATATAGCCATTTGCCTTTACTACCTTAAAAGGGAAATGGGAATGGTAGCCAAACCCATTTTCTTCTCAGAGGTAACCTAAATATTCAGATGGAAACCCTGAGAGGTGTCAGTGTTTTCCTTCTGTGCCCTCTCTATGGTTAAACCCCAAAGTTGGTACTAATGTCTTAGTTAATAACAAATCCCATTCTCTGTGACTAGAGGGAAAAAAAGATTTGAATCTTTATATGTTGCTTTGTATATCAGGATCATTCTGGTATTACCTCAGTCAAGTTTGCAGTTCAAGAGAAATGCTGTCAAGATCAGTTGTCTGTATAGGACAGAAGCATTATCCTTAACCTATTGTATTAAAACCATTTCCCAGGTGATCCCAGCTTGAAAAGCGGGAATGGCATCCCCAGCCGTTGTGTGTATTTGGAGGAAATGGCAGTAGAACTAGAAGATCAAGACTGGCTTGATATGAGCAACGTTGAGCAGGTAACATTCTTATGTTCCTAATGTGTGCCCTTAGCAAAAATTAGCTATGCAGCTGAACTCTGCTCACTCTTTTGCAACTTATGCTTATGTCCATATGTCTGTCTCTTTTTTTTTTTAACCAGTAGAAGGCTAATTAACCTGGATGTCCATCTCTAATATTGTGGTGTTCCTCTTTTGGAATTTTTTCATCTACCATGGCAACATGTCCAAATTTATCCATCCTCTAAGCATTGGTTAAAATGCCTTCTTAATTACAAAGCCTTGCCAGATAAAAGTTGTTACTACCTCCTCTGGGTACCTAGAATAATCAGCCTATGCATCTCTTATGGGAATTGTTACTTTCTGTCTCATGCTTTCTTATGTACCTGTCTTATCTCCCCTATGAGACTTAAGCTATTGAGGTCAAGATCCATCACGTTTTCTTGTTCATATTCTTTCTATGTTAGTCTGTTTTTTGTTGCTATAAAAAAAAATACCTGTGACTAGGCACAGTGGCTCATACCTGTAATCCCAGCACTTTGGGAGGCCAAGTCAGGAGGATCTCTTGAGGCCAAGAGTTACCAGCCCTGGCAACATAACAAGATCATGTTTCTACAAAAAAATACAAATAATTAACTGGGTGTGATGGCATGTACCTGTAGTCCCAGCTACTCAGGAGGCTGAGGTGGAAAGACTGCTTGAGCCTAGGAGACACTTACTACAGTAAGCCATAGTCACACCACTGCACTCCAGCCTGGGCGACAGAGCAAGAAGGACCCTGTCTCAAAAAAAAGAATACCCAAGCAGTAATTTGTAAAGAAAAGTTTATTTAGCTCACAGTTCTGCAGGCTGAGAAGTTTCAGGCCATGTCCCTGGCTTCTGGTGAGGGCTTTCGTGCTGCCTCACAATATGGTGGAGGAGGTCATCAAAGGATGCATACAATGAGGACACATGCAAAGAGAAGAAAACCTGAGGCTTGTCCTGGCTTAATAACAACCCGCTCTGGAGGGAATTCATCCATTCCCATGAGAACTAATTCAGTCTTGTGAGAGCAAGAATTCATTCACCACCTCAAGAGTAGCACCAAACAATTCATGAGGGATCCACTCCCATACCCAGACACTTCCCACTAGCCCCACCTCCAGCACTGCCACAAGGAGATCAAATTTCAACATGAATTTTGTTGGGGACAAACGTGTAAACCACAGCACTTTAAAAATCACAACAGTATGTTGTACCTTACAGGTGCCTGAGTAACATTAAAAGAATAAAATTTTGGTAGAAAAGACAGTTGACAACTTGCAGTTTAACTTCACATTTAGAGTATCTCTGTATAAGTCTGAGTAAGATCAGCAATCACACAGAACGGTAGATTTCACTTTTAAGTTTAATCACTGATCTCAGCACCATTCAACAAATTGTCTTTTAATGCCTACTCTGTGCTGGGGCTATACTAAACACTTGAGGCTTGATTTTGGATAACTTTATACCATAATTTTCTAATATTTTCTAAAGTAGAAAGATACAGGGCCCTTTTTTTCTCCTTCACTTGCAATAACCTGCATCAGAATTACTTTTACATCTTAATGCTCTAAGATTAATTTTGCAATAGTTTCATATTTTTGTTTGTTTTTTTCTTTATAGGCCCTCTTCGCTCGCTTATTACTTCAGGATCCGGGCAACCACTTAATTAACATGACTTCTTCTACAACGCTAAATCTCTCTGCTGATCGAGATGCAGGGGAGCGGCACATTTTTTGTTACCTTTACTCCTGCTTCCAGAGAGCCAAGGAAGAGGTAAAGGAATAATCCCCGTTGAATACCATATTGTCCTCTTGGGTATGACTTTAGCATGTAGGCCAGAGTTGGATCAGTCTTTATATCAATTTATATATGTCATAGTATGTTTAGAACTGGATGTCAGGAGCACTAAAGCTTTTATATCAATTTATATATGTCATAGTATGTCTAGAACTGGATATCAAAGGCACTAAAGGTTTAGTGTCTCCTTTCTGTGTCTTCGGGGGAGTCCACCCTTCTCTCCAATTGACCAATGCCTCCTATTCTCTCTAAAAACCTCTTTAGAAATCACACTCTTGGCTGGGTATGGTGGTTCATACCTATAATCCAAGCACTTTGGGAGGCCAAGGTGGGTGGATCACTTGAGATCAGGAGTTTGAGACCAGCCTGACCGACATGGAGAAACTCCATCTCTACTAAAAATACAAAAAATTAGCTGGGCATGGTGGTACCTACCTGTAATCCCAGCTACTCGGGAGGCTGAGGCAGGAGAATCACTTGAATCCAGAAGGCGGAGGTTGCGGTGAGCAGAGATTGAGCCATTGTACTCCAGCCTAGGCAATAAGAGCGAAACTCAGTCTCAAAAAAAAAAAAAAGAAAGAAAAAGAAATCACATCCTTAAAAAAGTCTTATGAGGCTGGGCACGGTGGCTCACTCCTATAATCCTAACACTTTGGGAGGCTGAGGCAGTTGGATCGCATGAGGCCAGGAGTTCAAAACTAGCCTGGACAATGTGGCAAAACCTTGTCTCTACTAAAAATAAAAAATTCGCCAAGTGTAGTGGCACACATTTATCATCCCAGCTACCCAGGAGGCTGAGACAGGAGAATCACTTGAACCCAGGAGGTGGAGATTACAGTGAGCCGAGATCACACCACTGCACTCCAGCCCAGGTGGCAGGGCAAGACTGTCTCAAAAGAAAAAAAAGGTTCATGAATTCATTTCCACTGAGGTGTAAATATTAGGATAGGCTAAGCCTGACACTTCCAGGATTGGAATTTTAAATAGGTAGGTAGATGATTCCTTAAGCCAAGGAATGAATCTCTAATTTTCAAGCGTCCACAGGAGACCAGTACTTTATGGAACACATGTCTCTTCCATTCTGTTTACTATGTCTGCTTTTGTTCCAGATTACAGAGTTAGATTATTCCCTCTTTTCTTCATGCTATTTGCAGATTACCAAAGTTCCAGAGAACCTGCTACCCTTTGCAGTACAGTGCAGAAACCTCACTGTGTCCAATACTCGAACAGTTCTCCTCACCCCAGAGATCTATGTCGACCAAAACATCCATGAGCAACTGGTAGATTTGATGTTAGAAGCCATCCAGGGAGCCCGTGAGTACATGAGCAAGATCTGTAAGCCTCTACATTTTGATTTTCAGATTTAAAATTTCACTAATTGCATTAGAAAGTCTCAGAGCCATTGTGGTTCTGGTATAAATTAAGGAAGAGGGCTCACATTTTGATCTTTGAGGTTGAGTACCAATAGAATAATGCCGGACATGTTAACACACCCCTGTAGTCCCATCTACTCTGGAGGCTGAGGCAGAAGGATCCCTTGAGCCCAGGAGTTTGAGGCTGTAGTATGCTATTATCACACCTGTGAATAGCCACTACACTCCAGGCTGGCAAAAAAGCAAGACCCCATCTCTAAAAAACAAAAAAGAATTATTAAAAGTAAAGAGCTAGTGTGTAAAGGCATATAAAAATTCGTGTGCCCTCCTTTCTCTCTCATTTGTCTTGTTTTAGATTTTGAAGATGTAACTGAGTTTCTAGAAGAGGTGATTGAAGCCTTGATACTGGATGAGGAAGTTCGAACATTTCCAGAAGTCATGATTCCAGTGTTTGATATTTTATTGGGCCGAATAAAGGATCTAGAGCTCTGTCAAATCCTTTTGTATGCATATCTGGATATTCTTCTCTATTTCACTAGGCAAAAAGATATGGCAAAGGTAGGCCTGAAAGATGATATATATTCAGTTGAGCTGGATGTATGATACGTTATGCTTCCCTATCCTGAGGACACTATAATATTACCTATTATAAGAAAAAGGTAGATTGGTGGTTGTATCAACTTACCTGTTTTGAGGCCCTCTCATCCCATCACCTTATCTCACCATGCAGATGAATAAGCAGGACTTGTCTTCTTTTACAGGTTTTTGTGGAATATATTCAGCCCAAGGACCCTACCAATGGGCAAATGTACCAGAAGACCTTGCTGGGAGTAATTCTGAATATCTCCTGCTTATTAAAGACTGCGGGTGTTGTAGAAAATCATGGCTACTTTTTGAATCCATCTCGTTCCAGCCCCCAGGAGATCAAAGTACAGGAGGCCAACATCCATCAGGTGGAACTGTTTACTGGGGTATCCCAGCCCCTGATCTTAAATGAGTTTTCTCAGAAAGCAGATACAGATAAGGCTGCTCAAGCCTCTCTGGGAAAGCAAATTGATCTAGTTGGCTTTTACATCACAAAAAGAAATTACAGCTGGGTGTGGTAGCTCAAGCCTGTAATCCCAGCACTTTGGGAAGCCAAGGTGGGAGGATCACTTGAACCCAGCAGTTCAATTTGAAACCCACCTGGGCAACACAGTGAGACCCCCCCATCTCTACAAAAAATACAAAACTTAGCTGGGCATGGTGGCAAGCATCTGTAGTCTCAGCTATTTGGGAGGCTGAGGTGGGAGGATCACTTGAGCCTGGGAGGTCAAGACATCCGTAAGCCATGATTGCATCATCACACTGCAGCCTGGATGACAAAACGAGACTGTCTTAAAAAAAAAAAAATTGCCCTCTTTTTAGCATATGCTAAGAGCAGAGGATAAACCTGTGTGGGGTAAGAATGAGCTGCTGCTACTCTTTGCCTTTTGCTGTAGCACTGCTACCTCTCCCCAACCCTCATTTTTCTCACTGAGCTATAATTTTAGCTCTGAAAACCTTTTGACTGAACTCTAGTTTATAAACCCAATTTTTATTCCTTTTCCTCTCTCCTCCTATGCTCTCTCTATTTGGGCTTCTTCACATAAATTATAGTAGAGATCTAGCCAACATGAGGCATTTAAATGATTGAATTGGGTATAGTTTAAGTCTCCTATTCATTAATCATTACTTTCTAAAGCAGGGTGTGGCAAACTAGCATTGGCCAAATCTGGCCTGCCACCTGTTTTTGTAAATCAAATTCTATTAAACTAGCCATGCCCATTAGTATATGTATTGTTTGTGGTTTGAATTCATGCTACAGTGATAGATTTGAATAACTGCTACAGACACTGTATGGCAAGTAATGCCAGAAATATCATCTAGCCCTTTGCAGAAAAAACTTACAGACCTGTGCTCTAATACCATGTAATGCCATCTGCATTTGGGCAACTGATGAGATTCTCTTATAAGTGCCCAGAAATATATTTTAAAATCAAATTAGGGCATAAGGCACAGATAGTGAGGGGAAAGATTAGGATTAGCATATTTTTAGAAACTGCCAGTTGTTAAGATTTGGGAACAGAAAATACTAGGATTGTGAAACTGGAATGTTCTGTGGTTGTGTTTTCTGGTTGAACAGTTCATGGCTCAGTTCCACGAAAAGATCTACCAGATGCTGAAGAACTTACTCCAGCTCTCTCCAGAAACCAAACACTGTATCTTGTCCTGGCTTGGAAACTGTTTGCATGCAAATGCAGGCCGCACCAAGATTTGGGCCAATCAAATGCCAGAAATCTTTTTCCAAATGTATGCCTCGGATGCCTTCTTTCTGAATCTGGGTGCTGCTCTCCTGAAGCTATGCCAGCCATTTTGCAAACCCAAATCCTCTCGGCTCCTCACCTTTAATCCCACATACTGTGCCCTGAAGGAGTTGAATGATGAAGAAAGAAAAATTAAAAATGTACACATGAGAGGTAGGGGAGAACCAGGCTTCTCAAACCGTGTGTGTGTGTGTGTGTGTGTGTGTGTGTGTGTGTGTGTAAAACATGTAAAGCATTCACTCCGTTATCATTCACTCCCTTATCCTTTTTCACAGAGTGCCTTTCTCAAAAACAGATGAGGCAGAACAAAGAGCTATTTAGAATTTTTTTTTTTTTGAGACAGAATCTCACTCTGTTGCCAAACTGGAGTGCAGTGGTGCAATCTCGGCTCACTGCAACCTCCACCTCCCAGGTTCAAGCGATTCTCCTGCCTCAGCTTCCCAAGTAGCTGGGACCTACAGGCATGTCCCACCATGCCCAGCTAATTTTTTTTTTTTTTTTTTTTTTTTGAGATGGAGTTTCACTCTTGTTACCCAGGCTGGAGTGCAATGGCGCGATCTCAGCTCACCACAACCTCTGCCTCCTGGGTTCAAGCAATTCTCCTGCTTCAGCCTCACAAGTAGCTGGGACTACAGGTGCGCACCACCATGCCCAGCTAATTTTTGTATTTTTAGTAGAGACGGGGTTTCACCATGTTGACCAGGATGGTCTTGATCTCTTGACCTTGTGATCCACTCGCCTCAGCCTCCCAAAGTGCTGGGATTATAGACGTGAGCCACCGCGCCCGGCCATCCCAGCTAATTTTTTGTATTTTTAGTAGAAATGAGGTTTTACCATGCTGGCCAGGATGGTCTCCTTCTCTTGACCTCATGATCTACCCACCTTGGCCTCCCAAAGTGCTGGGATTACAGGCATGAGCCACCTCACCCAGCCAGAATTTTTTAAAGACCAATTTTTGAGGGGGAAAAAAAACAGCTGGTAGCTTTTAAATGTTGTACTTTAGTGAGACCATCTCTCTGGATTTGGTAGCCTTGCAAATTCATTCATTCATACTTATACAAATGAATAAAGTACAGTCCTGAACCTTTTTGAACTCGGGCTCCAGAAGGCAGATGTATTAACAGATAATTATAGTATAGGGCTACGCTGTGAGAACACAGAGAAGGGAGTAAATAATCAATTCTGCAGAAGTTGGAGGTCTTCATAGCTGAGTCTTAAGAAACAAGTTAGGATTTACCAGCCAAAGAAGCAAGAGAGTCCCTTTAAACCAAGAGAAAAACAAGTATAAAGGTACAAAGCTATGGAAAATCTTGACTAAGGAATAGTGAGAGGCTCGTTGTGGCTAGGCCAAAGGTAGATGGTGTAGGGGAGGAAATGAGTCAAGGGAGGAAGAGAGTTGGGGCTGGATTGGAGAAAACAATACAGAGAAATGAAAAGAAAAATGATTCATAATCCTACCACTGCAGGTGAATCACTCTTAATTTTGGTATATTTCATTCCAGTTTTATCATTCTAATTATAAACATGGTAACTGCTCAAAAGCAAATAATAAAAATTTTTTAAAGCCCAAAATACAAATGATATATTGCCTGTCGCTTGAAACAATCTATAATATTACTCCTTTTAATTTTTGGTGATTTTGTGGTCAAGTGAAAAAGATTTAACTGTATTTCTGTAGACAAAAGCCAAAAGTGTGTGTAGACAAGGAAGTAATTTGACAAGATTTGTTTTTAAGAAGATATCACTGATTACAGTATGGAAGTTGAACGAGTATAAGAGGAGGCTGGAGACCAAGATAGATGTCTGTGGCAAGGCATTTACCTTTTTTTTTTTTAAACTTCTTTGAGGTTTGGACAAAGAAACCTGTTTGATCCCAGCTGTGCAGGAGCCGAAGTTCCCACAGAACTACAACCTTGTAACTGAGAACCTTGCCCTGACAGAGTACACCTTGTACTTGGGATTTCACAGGTAACTCCCCTAGTGTCATTAGGAAGAAACAATTTAGTTGTGTTGATACCGGGAAGGTTGCAAGTGATTCTTTGGCCAGGCACTGTAGCTCCCATCTGTACTCCCAGCATTTTGGGAGGCCAAAGCAGGAGGATTGCTAGAGGCCAGAAGTTTAAGACCAACCTGGGCAAGAAAGTGAGATCCCCCCATCTCTACCAAAAAAAAAAAAAAAAATTAGCCAGGCATGGTGGCATGTGCTTGTAGTCTTAGCTGCTCTGGAGCTGAGGTAGGAAGATTGCTTGAGCCTAGGATTTGGAGGACTCAGTGAGCTATGATTGTACAACTGTACTCCATCCTGGGTGACATAGTGATAATCTGTCTCTTAAAAAAAAAAGAGAGAGAGAGAGAGAGTCTTAGAGATATAACCTGAGCTTATTCTAAAGGCTTACTACATTAGAATCTGGTAGGAAAAGGGCATTGTATGAATTTGTGTTTCATGAATCAGCTTTGTACAGATTCCTTACATTTGTTTTTAACTGTTGGTGTTGAACTCTTGTCACCCAGGCTGGAGTGTAGTGGCATATTTTCAGCTCACTGCAACCTCTGCCTCCTGGGTTTAAGCAGTTCTCCTGCCTCAGCCTCCTTAGTAGCTGGGATCCAAGGCATATACCACCAGGCCTGGCTGATTTTGTATTTTTTTAGTAGAGACAAGTTTTGCCATGTTACCAGGCTAGTCTCAAACTCTTGGGCTCAAGTGATCCCCCTACCTTGGCCTCTCAAAGTGCTGGGATTACAGGCATAAGCCACTGTGCCTGGCCTGTTTTTAACTTTTGACCTGTTTGATCCCAGCTGTGCAGGAGCTGAAGTTCCCACAGAACTACAACCTTGTGTACTTACAGACTTAAAGATGTACTCGAATTTTTCTCTACATTTGCAAATTTTTAAATCACTGTTTTTCTATTATGATCTGGGAAAGTGGAATTGTTTTCATTTTATATTGCACTTTCTGCTCTTAAATTTTCGTTACTGGCCAGGTGTGGTGGCTCATGCCTGTAATCCTTAGCACTTTGGGAGGCCAAAGGCAGGCAGATCACTTGAGCCCAGGAGTTTGAGACCAGCCTGGGCAACCTGGCAAAACCCCATCTCTACAAAATATATAAAAATTAGCTGGGCATGGTGGCATGTACCTGTAGTCCCAGCTACTTAGGAGGCTGAGGTGGGAGGATCTCTTGAGCCTGGGAGATTGAGACTGCAGTGAGCCGAGACTGCACCACTGCACTCTAGCCTGGGCAACATAGTGAAACCCTGTCTCAAAAAAAAAAAAACACCTATTTCATTACTACTCCTGGTGATAAAAGACCAAGTTCTACTCTACAGAGAGACAAAAATGGCAAAAATTAAGGAAATATTTATAAGGAAATCTGATGAGATTAATAGGACCATGGAAGAGCTGTGCATAGTAAAGAAGATTCTAGAAATATGAAGACTTTACACCCAGAACGTATGACTTCCAAAAACAGTTCTTGTTCTGGCTATCCATTATTCTGTAATTATTTTTCATCTGATATAGCTGATTATGACAAGTATAATTAGAGGAAGAAAACAGCAGCTCAGTCATAGAAAGGAACGCTAAGAATAGCAATGTGAATGCCCTCTCAAGATGCCTGAATAGATGCAGAGCATTTTTCAAAACTATTCAGTCAACACATTGCTGGAAGAATGAAAATATATCTTTAGAGAGAAATCCCCATCATAGACATTTTAAATGAGACAGTAGATAAAAGTTCATCATGTGCTTAACCTGCTCAACTGCCTAGATTCAAACAAAAAATGAATATCATCTAGTTTCCCAGTATTCAGTAGCCCAAGACATTATCTACAGGGCCAGAGGAGATGATTTTAGACTATTATTCATAACTTTGAATTATGTGTCTTCCTTTCAGTAGAGAATATTAGGCTGACCTTTTCTGAAGAATAATTTAATTTAATATTGAACAACAGAGAGCTGGAAGCTGCTCTTAGATTGCATCTCAGGTGGCTACTAGTTTATATGTGGTCATTACTAATCTAGAGTCCCTTTACACCAGCTTAGTTTTCTACTAACCAAAGAAAGACCATCCATATAACCCCATCAAAGTGTGATCACTGCATTGAAGTATGATCGTTGTCCTTGTGTGGTATAAAACTATTCTGCTGGGCTTCTTGTACTTTGCCTAATAATTATTTATTTTATCTAATAAACAGTCCATTCTACATCCTACTCACCCAAGCTGCCTTTCTTCGGATAGTGCATTTCAACTGGAGGCTGCTAACTATTTGCAATTAGCTTCAATTATGTTGAATACTTGGCAATGCTTTCCCATTGCTGTGCACCCTGCCTGTGTCCTGTCAGAAACTTTTGTGAATGCCTTCTGTGTCGTTACAACTGCAACTCCCTACTATCCTTAAACAGAAGACTAGACTAAATAATTGAGGATTTGGTTTTTGTGACTTTCCGTTTTTCCTGACCCAGTCTCTTCTGCTTTCTTGGGGGCAGGTTGCATGATCAGATGGTAAAAATCAACCAAAATCTGCATCGGCTGCAGGTTGCCTGGCGGGATGCTCAGCAAAGTTCTAGCCCTGCTGCTGACAATCTTCGTGAGCAGTTTGAACGACTGATGACCATCTATCTTTCTACCAAGACTGCCATGACAGAGCCACAAATGCTACAAAACTGCCTAAACTTGCAGGTGTCCATGGCTGTTCTACTGGTTCAACTGGCCATAGGCAATGAGGGCTCACAGCCAATAGAGCTAACCTTTCCTTTGCCAGATGGCTACAGCTCTTTGGCTTATGTGCCAGGTAAGCAGGCTCTCCCTTGGGAATGTCCTATTTATAGCCTTCTGAGTTTAACTGGGTCACTTTGGAAGCTTAATCTTCAAAATACCCTTTCTTCATTATCATTCAGTTGTTTTTGGAGAAACAACTCAAACTTAGTATCTACTGTTCAAAGTAGTGGGGGACTAACAGTTTGTTCCTCAACCTTGTGTCCCCACTGCTGTGCATATCGGAAAATCATCTTCAAAGGATTAAATGTAGTCAGAGTTGTCAGAGCTGTTAGTTTCTGTCATTAATATTTGTTCAATTTACACATTCATCTAACTTTCCCTGTCCTTTTTGTGGAAAAAAAATTAGCTCCTGTTGGTTAGCTCAGAAGGGAAAAAGAAAGAGGGATAGAGAGAGTGTGTCTCAGTCAGTGAGAGGTGGGGCAGGTGTTGTCAGTCTAATCAGGTTATGTGTTCTTAACCATTGTATTGGTCCTATCATGCTGTGTAACAGATTACCGCAAAACATAGCAGCTTAAAACTACAGACCGTGTATGGCGGTGCACACCTGTAATCCCAGCACTTTGGGAGGCCAAGATAGGATGATTACTTGAGCCTAGGAGTTCAAGATAGGCCTGGGCAACATAGGGAGACCTTATCTCTAAAAAAAATTAAAATTTAGCTAGGCATGGTAGTGCATACCTATAGTTCCAGCTACTCAGGAGGCTGAAGTGAGAGAATCACTTGAGCCTATGAAGTTGAGGCCACAGCGAGCCATAATTGCACCACTGCACTCCAGCCTGGGTACAGAGCAGGACTTTATCTCATAAAAAAATAACAAAATAACAACAACTACGAACAGCTCACTCAGCTGCATGGTTCTGACTCAGAGTTCCTCAGGAAGTTACATAGCCAAGCTGTCAATCAGGGCCTTAGGAATCTGAGGACTCTACTAGGGCTGGAGGATCCACTTACAAGCCCAGTCATGTGGTTGTCAACAGGCTTCAGTTGCTTGTGCTATTGGCCAGCAGCCTCTTCTCGGCCATGTATATGTCTTCTAAATACTACCACAATATGGCAGCTGGCTTCCCCCAGAGCAAGTGACCAAAATGGAGACTGTAAGCTTTTATACCCTAATCTTGGAAATGACATATCATCACATCTGCTGTATGCCTCAGAGTTTATCTTCTACTCTGAAAGAGTGAATATAGGAAGGGACTGCCCAAGGTCATGAATACCAAAAGGCAGTGTTCACTGGAGGACCATCCTGGAGGCTGGCTACTGCCATCATCTAACATATTAATCTTTACTAGGGAGTCCTCACACATCTGAAGGGTTTAAACCATGGTTAACCTTGAGTGTAAAAGTGTATATATAGTATACTGATGTGTTAACAGTTTGTTTCATTACTGTCCATATATTTACTTGAATAAAAATTTAAATTGACTTAAAGGAGATTTTACGTTTATTGACTTACCACCATCTCTAGTACCAACAAAACATTTAGGTTTTTTTAACCTTCATTAAGTAGGATGAAAGGGAGGAATTTAAATGTTGTTTATTAGTACAGATATACAGATGTTTGGCTAATTCCAGTGAATATTTTCTTTTTCAGAATTTTTTGCAGATAACCTGGGTGATTTTCTCATTTTTCTCCGCCGCTTTGCCGATGACATTTTGGAGACATCAGCAGATTCCCTGGAGCATGTCCTTCATTTTATCACTATTTTCACTGGAAGCATAGAAAGGTGAAGTGCTGAAAGCTTGGTTCTGTCACTGCTTGCTGTAAAACATTCAGAAGACTTCTAAACCAAGAAACAAGCCTGAATCATAAGGGATTGCCTTCAGAAATTACGTTAAAATTAATGAAGCACCTGACCATCTGGCTACCTGTAGGTAGCCAGAAAATTTAATCCTGCATATAAGGTATCTGATGGGAATTCCACTGCTAGTCCCTGGTTAAAGTAGTTAACATAATGCCAAAAACTTACCAGTGGCAGCCAGGTGCTAATGATCTTCTAATAATTACATGATGATAAAGCTTGTTCTTGCTATTCTGAGTTGGATGAGCAGTAAACTTAAATCAATGTTGTTTCTCATTTCAAGTTTTCTCACTCATAGTTCTAGTCTTCTTTTCCAAAGGAAGATTCTGTGACTTGTAGAATTGCTTCCCTGATTTTTTTTGATGCATAGGCTAAAGGAAATGGAAACTCTGTGTACAAAAGTGAAGATTTCCTGCAGAGTGAAGAGAATGACCCACAATTCCCTGAGCTGTATACTCAGTAATAAGTAGAGAGAAGCCAATTCTTCAGAGAGCTGAGCATACCTAATGAGAAGTCATGAGTCAACAAGTATTATGCATACACTGTATACGTCATGGGTAATGTAGCATAATTATATCCTAGTCTTTACCCTCAGAAAGCTTGAAAAGGCAAGTTTATCCCACATGAAACTGTCAGAGAATAGTAAGCAGTAAATAATGCATTATTACAGAGAAGTAAACAATGGCTCAGCATTCAATAGAAACGTAAGTGCTCACTCTCATACTTGGTAAGCTGTCAACTCAAGAGTAAAATGATGTACCCTGCATCACCCCCACCAAGAAACTGACAAACTTAAAACTGCAGAAGTGGATCCTTTATTTTTCCTATAATGATGGTTTAAGGTGGATTTTGATTCTTATGTGGAGAGAACAGAGTCATAAATTTGAGTCAGGCTTATCTGCTCATCTTCCTTTTTGCCCATTTGCAGAATGAAGAATCCCCACCTGCGGGCCAAACTAGCAGAGGTGTTGGAAGCAGTGATGCCCCACCTGGATCAGACCCCAAATCCCTTGGTATCCAGTGTATTCCACCGGAAACGTGTGTTCTGCAACTTTCAATACGCACCCCAACTTGCAGAGGCTCTAATCAAGGTTTTTGTGGACATTGAATTCACAGGTAAAGCAGTCACGAAGCCAAGCCCAGAACTGAGAAGCTGATACCAGTGGAGTTTCATAGTTTGATCTGTATTTGGGTATCAAAGAAATGTCAAGCCATTATTTATTGAATACCTACTGTGTGCCAGGCTTGATGATAAGTGCTTTTTTTTAATATTCCATTGTTACCATCTGAAAAGTTTCACTCTACTGTCCCTGTTTTTTTTTTTTTAATCCCTGTTTTACATATGAAGATACAACGGCCCAAAAGATCAAATTATTTGTCCATGTTTTAACAAACTATCAAGTGGTAGAACCAGGTCTGTGTCACCTAAAGAAATCTACATATTCAACACCCTTATTATGTTGCTTTTTCAAATCAGACTCAGATTAGGCTATTTGATTAAAACTTGCGTCTTATTTTTCTCTGCTTTAAAATTACAGAATAGTGGATAAAGAGACAGAGTGCTAGTTGAGAGATTCTTTTATCTTAACCAGACTGTCTAACTCTCCAACAGTTAACTGTTGGATTAAGAATACCAACAGGCTCATGCTTGTAATCCCAGCACTTTGGGAGGCCAAAGTAGGCGGATCACTTGAGCTCAGGAGTTCCAAGACCAGCCTGGCCAACATGGTGAAACCCCATCTCTGCAAAATACAAAAATTAGCCAGGCATGGTGGCGAGCACCTGTTAATTCCAGCCACTCAGGAGGCAGAGGCATGAGAATCACTTGAATTCGGGAGGCAGAGGTGGCAGTGAACTGAGATTGCACCACTGCACTTCAGCCTGGATGACAGAGCAAGAAATTGTCTCAGGAAAAAAAAAAAAAACACAGCAGTCAATATTCCCTTTCTAACCCTGAGCCCCTGTGTTTGTTTAAACAGTACCCTATCTCAATCAGTAAATAAGATATGTTAAGAAATTGTTGAAGACCTTTTTTAAAGGGATGTCTACCATCCAATGATAAATACAACTAATGTTTAAGGAGGCATTTAATATTTTACTGGCCACCTTTCCATATTTGGGTTCTGGTTTTTTTTTTTTTTACTCGCTCACCTGGCAGCCTTAGTTTTCTCATCTATAACATGGGTCAAAGTGATGATTAAGTGAAATAATACATGTAAATCTTTATAATACATAAGAAATTGTATAATAAATCACTGCAGTTATCTCGTGTGACCATATAACCAAAGTCTTGTAATGGAGTACAATTTCTGTTTTATTTCTGAGGAAGTGGAAGCTGAAAAAGATTAAGAGACTTAGATTAAGCAGAGCCAGAATGAAAACCGAGGTCTTTTGCCTCCAAATCCTACACTCTTCCTTTATTATGACCCAGCCTGTGGAGCTCTAGTAATACCTTTGGTATTTCAAAAGCAATATAAGCTTCAGATTTTTAGCTCCTGACCTGAGGTTTCAGAGTAATCAAGAACCTGTTGGCTACACAGTTGTCTGTGAAGAATGTGGGAATTACTTAGTATCCCGCCCTGCACATGGCTTTCACTGCCATAATGGCCAGTCCTGAGCCCTCATTTAAAGTCTGAGAAGTACTCATGTTTGGATATAGATGTATTTGTCTCCCTTGGCTTTTTCTTTTTTGAGATGGAGCCTCACTCTGTTGCCTGACTGGAGTGCAGTGGCCCAATCTTGGCTCACTGCAACCTCCGCCTCCTGGGTTCAAAGGATTCTCCTGCCTTAGCCTCCCGAGTAGCTGGGACTACAGGTGCATGCCACCACACTCAGCTAAGTTTTGTATTTTTAGTAGAGACGGGGTTTCACCATGTTGCCCAGGATGGTCTCGATCTCTTGACCTCGTGATCTACTCACCTTGGCCTCCCAAAGTGCTGGGATTACAGGCATGAGCTACCTCACCCAGCCACCCCTTGGCTTTTATTTTACAGCTTGGTACTTGTCTCTTGCAGAGTAAGGTGTCCTTTATCTCTGTCTCCATCTTAATTTGTCAGTAAGGAAATGAATAAACACTTGCCTATAACTCTAGGCCTTCAGAAACTCCAGGGCAGATTTTGTTAGTAGCCTTTACACACTCAAAAGCAAATGACTACATAGGCATAAGCTCTTCCTCTTTCTCTTATGGCACCAGCTTTGCTGATATTTTGCTCTTGCCCTACTCCAGGAGATCCCCATCAATTTGAACAGAAGTTTAATTACCGCCGTCCCATGTATCCCATCCTAAGATACATGTGGGGGACAGATAGCTATCGGGAGAGCATTAAGGTGAGAGAGTTTTTGGTGAAACCAGTTGCTTTACATAAGCCCCAGTGAGTTGTGATTCAGTACTAACATGGTTTTCTTGTGGGCTGGGACTTACAGGATTTGGCTGACTATGCCTCTAAGAATTTAGAAGCCATGAATCCCCCACTTTTCCTCCGCTTTCTTAACCTGCTAATGAATGATGCCATCTTCCTTTTGGATGAAGCCATACAGGTAAAATATAAATATATTTTTTTATATTTTAAACAAATATATATATATATATATATATATATTTAACTCCCCCATACCATCAAATCATCATTAGTACATACAGTTTACCTTTTTATCATAATAGAGCAATCCTTATGCCCCTAGTACCAGACTTGAACACCAAAAATTTGTGATTAGTAGTGTACCACCAAGCTTGCCATTACACAGCTTTCTAGACCATTCCATCAGAGAGCAGGATCAAGGGTCATTGAAGCGTCATGAGATGGATATTTTGGCAGAGTTGAAAATACCATATGGGCCGAGCGCAGTGGCTCACACCTCTAATCCCAGCACTTTGGGAGGCCAAGGCGGGCGGATCACGAGGTCAAGAGATAGAGACCATCCTGGCCAACATGGTAAAACCCATCTCTACTAAAAATACAAAAATTAGCTGGGCATGGTAGCGTGCACCTGTAGCCCCAGCCACTCGGGAGGCAGGAGAATTGCTTGAACCCGGAAGGCAAAGGTTGCAGTGAGCCAAGGTTGCGCCACTGCACACTCCAGCCTGGTGACAGAGTGAGACTCTATCTAAAAAAAAAAAAAGAAAATACCATATGATGAAACCAAACTAAAGTATACTGGCAGGAGTAATTCATCAGGCCAGTACTACAGAAAGAAATCAGAGGAGCTTGCTTTTAGTCAGCGACTTTGAACCCTTTTAATCCCAACATGTCAGTAAAATATCTCACTACAACAATGATTTTTAACCCACTTTCTAAAAAAAAATCCAATTTTTGCACCACTACTTGAAAAAAATCTCTGATTTGGGTTATTTTTTTCATATAAAGGCTCCAAGTTTAGCACTAAAGTGTCCTTTAAATTTAAAAAAAAAAAAAAAAAGGCTCCAAGTTGTCAATACTTCTCACCTTTCCACTGCTTCCTAAATCCTTAACTATATTGTGAAACAAAGGTTTCACAAAGTATTAAATGCAGCTGGGCACCTTTCAGCTCCTTCAGTGTATTATTTCCTTAAGATTCCCTGGTGGAACTGCTTATTTCTCCCGTTAAAAACTAGGTATAGGATGGACCAGGGCACGGACCTAAAGGGAGATGAAGCAGGTAAATCCTGGGGGTAGCCTTTAGACAGTCACGAGTCCTTGTAGTGATCAGCAGTCCCCTGAGTAGCTTGTGTTTAATTTGTGAGAAAGATTTGATCTGCTTTCTTCATAATCCTACACTTTAGGATTTAAGATAGGTTTTCTTCAAAAATGAGAATAGGTCCTGTTAAGCAGGAGGTGTGTGACACAAAGCATGAAGCATATGGTACTTTCATGAGACTGTAACTTTTTTGAGACGAAGTTTTGCTCTTGTTACCCAGGCTGGAGTGCAATGGCGCAATCTTGACTCACCACAACCTCTGCCTCCTGGGTACAGGCAATTCTCCAGCCTCAGCCTCCTGAGTAGCTGGGATTATAGGCACGCACCACCGTGCCCAGCTAATTTTTCGTATTTTTAGTAGAGACGGGGTTTCATCATGTTGACCAGGATGGTCTCGATCTCTTGACCTCGTGATCCACCTGCCTCGGCCTCCCAAAGTGCTGGGATTACAGGCTTGAGCCACCGCGCCCGGCCCGAGACAGTAACTTTAACAAGTTGTTTGCTACAACAGGAAGGATGATGTAAGGTAGAGAGTTTTAAATAATTACGGTTTATTCACACATTTGCATATTTGATAGAGTTTTGATTTTTTTGTAAGCAATTTGGAAATGGAAGGGGGATTTGTTTTCATCTCTCAGGAAGGATTCCTCTGTTTTTCACTGTACTGTGGGGTTTTTTAGTTTTTCATTTCTTGGCCTGGGTTTCATATATTAAACTATTTATCCTTCTTTCTATTTTACAATGCTATACTATTTCTAGGGGAATTACCTGTGAATCTACCCAAGCTGAAACAAATCTGTATGAAGCCACAATTTCTTTTTTCCCCAAAAGTTCTTTTAAGCTTCAGCCCTATGCTGAGAAATAAAGGCTCATATCTCTTACATGGTCCCTCATTTTCCCAGCTTAGTTGACTGGATTTTGAATAGGACCTCTTAAAGTCATGTCCCTTCAACTGCGCTTTCTTCTCTGATATATCCCACCTCTGGTTTCTGAAGTATTTGAGCAAGATAAAGATTCAGCAGATTGAGAAGGACCGAGGCGAATGGGATAGTCTGACTCCAGAAGCCCGTCGAGAAAAGGAGGCTGGCCTACAGATGTTTGGACAGCTGGCACGTTTCCATAACATCATGTCCAATGAAACAATTGGTACCCTTGCCTTTCTCACATCAGGTAAGGACCCGAAGTACTGCTTTCCCCTGAAAAAGTAATGGCCAAGATCTGCTTTCCTTGAGGGATCAGCCCAGCTGAAACTAAGAATTTAAACTCTGGTGACAGTATCCTCCACATCTGAGAGGGAAATGAATCACTTGAGAAGCTTCAAAAAGAATGATGATGCTCATTGTTGACGTGGGAATGAGGAAATGGTCACCCTCACACGGCTGCCACAGAGCATAAGGTGGTGAGATATCTTTCTTGAGGACAGGTTAGCCATATAAATATGTGTGTCTGTACACACACACACACACACACACGTTAATCTGAGAAATATGCTTGAATCCCAGTTAAATGTGGTGGATCTAACAGACATTTATCTCTACTCTATAACTCCACTGTCCAATTCAGTAGCCACTTGCCACATTTAAAATGTGGCTAGTCTGAATTGAGATGTGCTGTAAGTATAAAATATGCACTGCAAGACTTAATGTTAAAATGTAAAATATGTGCATTTTTGTACTGATTACATACTGAAATTATCATTTTTAATGTCTCAACCAATAATCATCCAACATTTGAGGAAATCCTCTAAGGTGAAACATAAGTAAGTGAAAACTTAGTAAAAAAATTTTTTCTTTGAAACGGAGTCTCGCTCTGTCACCATACTAGAGTGCAGTGTTGTGATCTTGGCTCGCTGCAACTTCCGTGTCCCGGGTTCAAATGATTCTCCTGTCTTAGCCTCCCAAGTAGCTGGGACTATAGGTATGCACCACCATGTCCAGATAATTTTTGTATTTTTAGTAGAGGCAGGGTTTCACCATGTTGGCCAGGATGGTTTTGATCTCTTGACCTCATGATCTGCCTGCCTTGGCCTCCCAAAGTGCTGGGATTACAGGAGTGAGCTACTGTGCCTGGCTTTTTTTTTTTTTTTTTTTTTTTTTTTTTTTTTCTGAGACAGAGTCTCACTCTATCACCCAGGCTGGAGTGCAATGGCATGATCTTGACTCTCACTGCAACCTCCACCTGCCAAGTACAAGCGATTCTCCTGCCTCAGCCTCCCAAGTAGCTGGGACTACAGGTGTGCGCCACCACACCCAGCTACTATTTTATTTTTAGTAAAGATGGGGTTTCACCAAGTTGGCCAGGCTGGTCTTGAACTCTTGACTTCATGACCCACCCACCTCGGCCTCTCCAAGTGCTGGAATTACAGGCATGAGCCACCACGCCTAGCCTGTAAAAACTTTTTTAAAAAACGTTATAAGCCACGCACAGTGGCTCATGGCTATAATCCCAGCACTTTGGGAGGCCAAGGCTGACAGATCACCTGAGGTCAGGAGTTCAAGATCAGCCTAGCCAACATGGCAAAACCCCGTCACTACTAAAAATACAAAAATTAGCCAGGCATGGTGGCAGGCATCTGTAATCCCAGCTATGCAGGAGGCTGAGGCAGGAGAATCACTTGAACCCAGGAGGCAGAGGTTGTAGTGAGCCAAGATCACACTACTGCACTCCAGCCTGGGCGACAGAGCTAGACTCCATCTCAAAAAAAAAAAGAACTTTATAATCTCAGAGGGATAAGAGAAGATAGAGTAGGCACAAAACAAGAACAAAGAGACAAGGAAAGAGATTAAAGAATAAGAGCTCTTAGATATTGAAATTTTTACCTCAGAAATATTAAATATTCAGTAAAAGGGTTAGAAGATATAAATTCAAGGAAATCTTCTATGAACTTAGAAGGAAAAAGAGATGGAAATTAGAAGAGAAAGGATAAAAAAAATAAAGGATGGAGCTAGGAAGTCTCAAAAGAGAAAAATGGAGGAGAGGAAGTTATCGAAGATACCCAAATATCCCCTAGACTCAAAGACAGCCTCTACATTGAAAGGGCTTGCCGAGTACCCTATGCAGAGAATTTTTTAAAACCCTCACTGAGGTATAACATTGTGAAATTTTAGGAAATCATGGTAAAAAGAAGACCCTAAAATATCCCAGAGAAGTCAGTTAATGTTACCGTAGTGTAAGTATCAAAATGGCTTTGAATTTTCAACAGCAACATTTGAAGCTGAGACACATTTCTGAGGGAATATAAACCCAGGAGGAGGAAGGGGGAATTCAACACAAGGGGAGATGCAAAGGAGATTCCCAAGACGATGGTAAAAGGCGCTTCTGTGACCACTACACAGCAGGCCTATATAGAGCAAGCAGTCCAGGTTGGAGCAAAGGATGGAAACATCCAGAAAGAATGTTTCCAAAAATTAATCAGCAGCTAGAAATGTTGATCATGTTAATCAGCAGTAGATCATGTTGAGAGTTTTAAATTCCAGTGGAGAGTTTCAAAAGGATTTAGTGATAAAGAAGTTCTGAAAATAAGCAAACAAGCAAAAAGTTACACTAAAAAGGAACTATATACTCAGTAGGACAGCATATGGCTCTGCTGTGAATGATATTTACATAATTTGAATAAACTAGCCAAAAACTTGACTATATATTGAGGGCATTTGTGATCATGACTAGAACTGAAAAATTAAGAACTATCAGTACCAACTAAGCATAGCATTATGATACTATCTGGCTTCTTAAATTTGGCATGTATAAATTTTTTTTTTTTTTTATTTTTGGAATTCATGCCCTGTGACATAGCAGTTCCTTTCAGAATTGTTAAGAAAAAGTGATAGTCTGGCCTGGTGGCTCATGCCTATAATCCCAGCACTTTGGGAGGCCAAGGCAGGCAGATCACAAGGTCAGAAGTGTGAGACCAGCCTGGCCAACATAGTGAAACCCCATAAAATTACAAAAATTAGCAGAGTATGGTGGTAGGCACCTGTAGTCCCAGCTACTTGGGGGGCTGAGGCAGGAGAATCGCTTGAACCTGGGAGGTGGAGGTTGCAGTGAGCCAAGATCACACAGCTGCACTCCTACCTGGGTGACAGAGCAAGACTCCATCTCAAAAAAAAAAATGAGAAGCGATGAGTCTATAAGATGTATCCATAATGAAGTTCATTGATAAGTAAGGTGTAGGAAAAAATTGAAAATAGTTAAAATGTCCACCAAAGACATTACATAAATAACTTATGGTACAGTTACAAGTGGAAAAATCAGCCATTAAAAATGATGTAAGCCGGGCATGGTAGCTTACACCTGTAATCCCAGCACTTTGGGAGACAGAGGCAGGCAGATCAGCTGAGGTCGGGTGTTCGAGATTAGCTTGACCAACATGGAGAAACCCTGTCTCTACTAAAAATGCAAAATTTTTACAGTTATGTGCTGAGCATGGTGGCACATAACTGTAATCCCAGCTACTCAGGAGGCTGAGGCAGGAGAATCGCTTGTACCCGAGAGGCAGAGGTTGTGGCGAACCAAGATCACACCATTGTACTCCAGCCTGAGCAAAAGAGTGAAACTCCATCTCAAAAAAAAATGTAAAATAGACTGGGTAGAGTGGCTCACACCTAAATCTCAGCACTTTGGGAGGACAAGGCAGAAGGATCCCCTTGAGCTCAGGAGGTTGAGACTACCTTGAGCCATGATCATGCCACTGCACTCTAGCCTGGGCAACATCAAGACCCTGTCTCAAAAAAAATTTTTTTTAATTAAAAAATTTTAAAAAATGTTACAAAACAGCTGGTCACAGTGGCTCATGCCTATAATCCTAACACTTTGGGAGCCGAGGCAAGTGGATTACTTTGAGCCCAAGAGTTTGAGACCAGCCTGGGCAATAGAGTGAGACCCCATCTCATTTTTTTAGAAAGATGATGTGAATCACCCTATTCTATAGAACTTTCTGTGATGGTGAAAATGTCCTATAAATCTGGGCTGTTCAGTACCATACTTAGCTAGCCACATGTGGCAATGTGACTGAGGAGTGAATTTTTTATTTAATTTTAGTAGCCACATGTGGCCAGTGGCTGCTATGTTGGACAGCACAGGAACATACACTTACTAAAATGGTAAGGTATTTGCAGTATAGTTACTGAAAACAGTAACTTTCAGAATATGTAAAATATCATTTTTGTTTGAAAAATGTCTGTGCATGTGTGTAAATATGAACAGAAAAGCTAGAACAAAATGTTAAATTAGCAAGATGATAACTGTTTATCTCTGGGTGGTAGTTTTTGTCTTTTCTGGTTTTTGCTTGTCTATATTTTCTGCATTGAAAATGAATTACTTAGTTTTTTAAAAAGTAGTCCCTTCCACAATTTTAAAAATAAAATAATAGTAGTCCTCAGAGGCCTCCAAGTATCCTATACATAATAAGGAAAAGAGTGCTAATGGATTGAGTTTTCAGAGGCTTTGTTTTCTTTCCCAGAGATCAAGTCACTCTTTGTGCATCCCTTCCTGGCCGAGCGCATCATCTCCATGTTGAACTACTTCCTGCAACACCTGGTTGGCCCCAAGATGGGTGCCTTAAAAGTCAAGGACTTCAGCGAATTTGACTTCAAACCCCAGCAGCTTGTATCAGATATCTGCACTATCTACTTAAATCTTGGGTACCTGACGTTGGAATTTGTCAAGCCAGAGGGGATGCTAATGTTTTGATTTAGGATTTTGACAGTAGAAGAATGACAGGTTGATAATTATGTGGAAATAGAAAAGAAATGGTTCATTCCTAGTTGGTTGATGAAGGAATCTTCTGTAGTTTTAAATAAGGAGATTTTATCTGGGCAAGGTATGGTGTGCCTGTGGTCCAAGCTGCTTTGGAGGCTGAAGTGGGAGGATTGCTTAAGGCCAGGAGTTTGAGACCAGCCTGGCAACACCGGGAGACTCCATCTCTAAAAAATAAATAAGATTTGGCTGGGCATGGTGGCTCACACCTGTAAACCCAGCACTTTGGGAGGCTGAAGCGGGTGGATCATGAGGTTGGGAGATCAAGACCATCCTGGTCAACATGGTGAAACCCCATCTCTACTAAAAATACAAAAAATTAGCTGGGCATGGTGGCGTGTGCCTGTAATCCCAGCTGCTCGGGAGGCTGAGGCAGGAGAATTGCCTGAACCCAGGAGGTGGAGGTTGCAGTGAGCCGAGATCACGCCATTGCACTCCAGCCTGGGTAACAAGAGTGAAACTCCGTCTCAAAAAATAATAATAATAATAATAAGATTTTGTGTGACCCGTGGGACATTACGATTTCCAGTATTCTGCTTCGATCTGTGCAAAGATAAATTGCTGGTTGTACCACTGTTTGGAAAAGTAGCATTCTTTTAAGGTCACATGATACTTGCTAGACTTCTAGAAAGTTTCTATATCAGGTCAGGCGCGGTGGCACTTGCCTGTAATCCCAGCACTTTGGGAGGCCGAAGCAGATGGATCGTGATCCACAAGGTCAAGAGATCGAGACCATCCTGGCCAACATGGTGAAACTCCGTCTCTGCTAAAAAATACAAAAATTAGCTGGGTGTGGTGGCACATGCCTGTAGTCCCAGCTACTTGGGAGGCTGAGGCAGGAAAATCACTTGAACCCAGAAAGTGGAGGTAGCAGTGAGCCTAGATCCCGCCATTGCACTCCAGCCTGGCAACAGGGCAAGACTCCGCCTCAAAAAAAAAAAAAAAAAAAAGTCTATATCAAAAAGTGTGTGTGTGTGTGTGTGTGTTAAAAGAAGTCTTTCTATATCAAAAGAATGTTCATGGCTTGTGAGTGCTGAGAATACTTGTTCTGCATCCTGTCTATTGTCTCTTCCATTGACCTACCCTCTGGTGATCAGTTTTTTTCTGATGCTGACCTTCCAGGGATGAAGAGAATTTCTGTGCCACTGTGCCCAAGGATGGACGTTCCTATTCCCCAACTCTCTTTGCACAGACAGTTCGAGTCTTGAAAAAAATAAATAAGCCTGGGAATATGATTGTGGCTTTCAGCAACTTGGCAGAGAGAATCAAGGTGAGGAAGAGGAGGATTTATTTGCTGACAAGTTCATTAAGAACCACATTGTCAGCCAGGCACGGGGGCTCAAGCCTGTAGTCCCACCTACTTAAGAGGCTAAGGCTGAAGGATCACTTAATCCCAAGAGTTTGAGGCTGCAGTGTGCTATGGTCATGCCTGTCTATAGCCACTGCACTCCAGCCATGGCAAGATAGCATCTCCTAAAAATCCACACAAAAGAATCAGATTGTCACCTCAGCTGTGCTGATTTTTACCCTATTTCAGGGAGAAAAAGAGCATTGCCATGAGAAAATTTAAACAGATGGTTCTTTTTGGTCAGTCACCTAGAACTATAATATTCTTAGTTTTATTCTTTTCAACGTAAGAGAATAGAAATTTCAGAAATCGGCTGGGTGTGGTGGTTCATGCTTGTAATCCCAGCACTTTGGGAAGCCAAGATAGGCAGATCACTTGAGGTCAGGAGTTCAAGACCAGCCTGGCCAACATGGTAAAACCCATCCCTACTAAAAATACAAAAATTAGCTGGGCATGGTGAAGTGCACCTATAATCCCTGCTACTCAGAAGGCTGAGGCAGGAGAATTGCTTGAACCTGGAAGGTAGAGGTTGCAGTGAGCCAAGATCGTGCCACTGCACTCCAGCCTATGCAACAAAGTGAGACTTTCAAAAAAAAAAAAAAAGAAAGAAAGTTAAGAAACTTCAGCTGGAAAACTAGAAGAGAAGAATGTACACATTTATGTAAGATGTTTTTATGAAAACGTTTATGTAGTGTTACCAATAGATTTGAAGACGTAGGGTGTTAATACAGAATAACTTTTTTAGAAAAAAATTCAAGTTTTCATTCACTAATTTTTAATTTGATTGTCTCTGTAGTTGGTAGTTGGCTTTTGTTGGAATATGCATACATTTTGAAGATTAAAATACTCTATTGTATTCAACTAAATCCCTTTGGTTAGAGTATGATTGAGCTCTATTAGCAGTTAAGAAGAAGGAAAATTATGGCACAGAAGTCTAATAAACCTTCCTGGCTGGGCGCGGTGGTTCACGCCTATAATCCCAGCACTTTGGGAGGCCAAGGCAGGTGGATCACGAGGTCAAGAGATCAAGACCATCCTGGTCAACAAGGTGAAACCCTGTCTCTATTAAAAATACAAAAATTAAGGCCGGGCACAGTGGCTCAAGCCTGTAATCCCAGCACTTTGGGAGGCCAAGGCGGGCGGATCATGAGGTCAAGAGATCGAGATCATCTTGGTCAACGAGGTGAAACCCTGTCTCTACTAAAAATACAAAAAATTAGCTGGGCATGGTGGCGCGTGCCGGTAATCCCAGCTGCTCAGGAGTCTGAGGCAGGAGAATTGCCTGATCCCAGGAGGTGGAGGTTGCGGTGAGCCGAGATCGTGCCATTGCATTCCAGTCTGGGTAACGAGCAAAACTCCGTCTCAAAAAAAAAAAAAAAAAAAAAAATACAAAAATTAGCTGGGCATGGTGGTGCACGCCTGTAGTCCCAGCTACTCGGGAGGCTGAGGCAGGAGAATTGCTTGACCCCAGAAGGCAGAGGTTGTGGTGAGCCGAGATTGTGCCATTGCATTCCAGTCTGGGTAACAACAGCAAAACTCCGTCTCAAAAAAAAAAAAAAAAAAGAAAAGAAAACCTTCCTTGTTGCTGTCAGTCTTCCCTTCATTGAGTTTCTTTTTTATTGAGTTGGACTTCATCAAATGTTGAAACCACTTTAAAATTCCTGTACCTGTTCGTATCAAAAACCAGAAACTGCTTTTCATACACAGCCTGCATGAGTGACTCTAATTATGCAAATAATACCCTCCTCCACCTCCGCTTCTCCCCCTCATCCCCTTTTGAATTATGGCATTTACAAGAGAACTATTGCCAGATGGATGTTGTTTGTGATATATTTCTTTTCCTCCTAACATTTAAACCCATTTCCGTATGACTACCAGCAGCTGAGCCAACTTGAAGGTGCAACGTTGGGGCTCAATCCTACATTTGTTCCTAGACTATCTGTCTTGACTTGTTTTTGAGAAAGCGAAGCTCACATTTGTCACTATCACTGTAAGGGTTATTGATGACCGGGATTAAGGTGTAGTCATTGAGCATGCTGAATTCAGCTACACCGTGAATTCACTCTAACTAGCGTGTGTTGTATACTCAGTCTCTTGCAGACCTCCAGCAACAGGAAGAGGAAACCTATGCAGATGCCTGTGATGAGTTCCTGGATCCCATTATGAGCACACTGATGTGTGACCCTGTGGTGCTGCCATCTTCCAGAGTCACTGTGGATAGATCCACCATTGCAAGACATTTGCTCAGGTAGGCCAGTCCCAAAAAGCAGACTCAAGAGCACAGATATATATTAGTTTGCTATCCTTTTCTCTCAGGCACCTAATGCAGTACTTTTCACCCAGTAGATACCACACATTATTGATTTACTGATATGTTGGAAGGCATTTGGGTATCAATTAATTGCTAGGGATATAAACATTGCAAAACAAAACATTCTGTTGAGAAATGCTAACTCTAACCTTACCTCTTCCTGCCTTAAGAAAATAGTTTCTGGCTGGGTGCAGTGGCTCATGGCCTGTAATCCCAACACTTTGGGAAGCTGAGGCAGGTGGATCACTTGATGTCAGGAGTTTGAGACCAGCCTGGCCAACATGGTAAAACTCCATCTCTACTAAAATACAAAAAATTAGCAGGGCATGGTTGTACACACCTGTAGTCCCAGCTACTCAGGAGGCCAAGGCAAGAGAATTGCTTGAACCTGGGAAGCAGAGGTTGCAGTGAGCCGAGATCGCACCACTGCACTCCAGCCTGGGCTCAGGTGATCCTCCTACCTCAGCCTCCTGAGTAACTGGGACTACAGGCATGCACTAACACACCCAACTAATTGTTATATTTTTTGTAGGGACAGGGTTTCACCCTGTTGCCCAGGCTGGTCTTGAACTCCTAGGTTCAATTGATCCACCCGCCTCAGCCTCCCAAAGTGCTGCGATTACAGGTGTGAGCCACCACAACTGGCCTTTTTTGGGTTTTGTGTTTTTTTTGAGACAGTCTCGCTCTGTCACCCAGACTAGACTGCAGTGGCGTGATCTCAGCTCACTTCAACCTCTGCCTCCCAGGATCAAGCAATTCTCCAGCCTCAGCCTCCCAAATAGATGGGACTACAGGCATGCACCATCATATCCAGCTAATTTTTGTATTTTTAGTAGTGACAGGGTTTCACCATGTTGGCCAAGTTGGTCTTGAACTCCTGACCTCAAGTGATCACCCGCCTCAGCCTCTCAAATGTAGTGATTACAGGCATGAGCCACCATACCCAACCTGTTTTTTATTTTTTTTCAATTCAGGTTTTACATTATATTCACCATGTGGGTTAACTCACATCCTGTTGCTGTTGTTGTATCAGCCATGGTATACATGAATTTTCCCCAGCCTGCCTATTCTTTGGACAGTCTGCCCCTTGGTAACTGTAGAAAAGATAGGAATGGGCCGGGCATAGTGGCTCACGCCTGTAATCCAAGCACTTTGGAGGTCAAGGCAGGCAGATCACCCGAGGTCGGGAGTTCAAGACCAGCCTGACCAACATGGTGAAACCCCGTCTTTAAAAAAAAAAAAAAGAAAGAAAGAAAAGAAAAGACGGGAATGAAGCAATAAATGGTAGCTTATTAGCTGCTTAATCGGCCCCTTAACTTTTTTTAGTGCAGCATTAGGTAGAAATGGGTACTAAGAGACACTATTTATATATTCATTTATTTTTTGAGACAGGGTATTGCTCTGTCACCAGGCTGGAGTGTAGTGGCATGATCTCAGCTAACTGTAGCCTCACCTTCCTGGGCTCAAGCACCCCTCCCACCTCAGCCCCACCACATAGCTGGGACCACAGGCCATGCACCACCGTGCCTGGCTTATTTTTGTATTGTTTGTAGAGAAGGAGTCTGTCTATGCTGCCCAGGCCAGTCCCAAACTCTCGGGCTCAAGCAGTCCACCCACCTCAGCCTTCCAAAGGTGCTAGGATTACAGGCAGAGCCACCTTGTTTGGCCTCTCCATATTTAAAATTAAGTTATAGCAAGCCAGGCACGGTGGCTCACGTCTGTAATCCCAGCTACTCGGGAGGCTGAGGCAGGAGAATTGCTGCAACCTGAGAGGTGGAGGTTGCAGTGAGCCGATATCATACCACTGCACTCCAGCTTGGGCAATAGACCTATACTCTTGTCTCAAAAAAAAAAAACAAAATTGTTTCATCTCTACAAAAAATTATTATTATTATTATTATTTTTGAGACAGAGTTTCACTGTTGTTACCCAGACTGGAGTGCAATGGCACAATCTCAGCTCACCGCAACCTCCGCCTCCTGGGTTCAAGCAATTCTCCTGCCTCAGCCTCCAGAGTAGCTGGGACTACAGGCGCACACCACCATGCCCAGCTAATTTTTGTATTTTTAGTAGAGACGGGGGTTTCACCTTGCTGACCAGGATGGTCTCGATCTCTTGACCTCGTGATCCACCCACCTCGGCCTCCCAAAGTGCTGGGTTTATAGGCGTGAGCCACCACTCCCGGCCCACAAAAAATTATTTTTGCCAGGCATGGTGGCTCACGCCTGTAATCCCAGCACTTTGAGAGGCCAAGGTGGGCAGATCACCTGAGGTCAGGAGTTCAAGACCAGACTGACCAATATGGAGAAACCCCATCTCTGCTAAAAACACAGAATTAGCTGGGTGTGATGGCTCATGCCTATAATCCAGCTCCTTGGGAGGCTGAGGCAGGAAATCGCTTGAACCCAGGAGGCAGAGGTTGTAGTGAACCGAGATCACACATTGTACTCCAGCCTGGACAACAAGAGCAAAACTCCATCTCAAAAAAATAAATAATTATTCTTAATTAGCCAACTGTAGTGGCACATGCCTGTAGTCCTGGCTACTCAGGAGGCTGAGGCAGATCGCTTGGGCACAGGAATTCAAGGCTGCACTGAGTTATGACTACACTACTGCAGTCATAACTGAGCCAAGATTGCACTACTGCACTCCAACCTGGGCAACAGATCGAGATTCTGTCTCAAAAGAAAAAAAATTCTACCTCATGCTATTTGGTTAAGCATTCACCATATGGATTATGCTGTGCTAGGTGGTATGTCTTTTGCAAAGTGTCAATGAAAATTTATATTTAAAGTGGCCTCAATATTAGAGAGAAGATGTATTAGCCCTTAAAGTATGTCATAAACCAAACTTGTCCTAGCTGCATGTGTGGGCCAGGATGGCTCAAAATGGGACCCGACACAAATTCATAAAATTTCTTAAAACATGAGGTTTTTTTGTTTTTTGTGGGGTTTTTTTTTTTTTTTTTGCAATTTTTGTTTTTTAGCTTATTAGCTATTGTTAGTCCTGATGTATTTTATGTATGGGCCAAGGCAATTTTTCTAATGTGGTCTAGGGAAGCCAAAAAACTGACACCTGTCGTAAACCTTCTTACGTGTCAGAAAACCATAATCTGCGTTTACACGCATAGCAATCAACTGACCAAATCAAATGTTAGTCTACAAGGCTTTATTCCTTAACATCTTGTACTGCTGTAAGAATCTGTCACTTTAATTACAAATAGTTATTTACACTGACATAAGTGTACAGTGTCTCTGCCTTAGAGAACTCTAAAGGTGACAGAAGCATAGCATTTTTTAAGCCCTTGTATTTAAATATCATCTGAACAGTAGTGTTGAGATAAGGTTTATTAAGAAATAGAGGCCGGCTGGGCATGGTGGCTCACACTTATAATCCAAGCACTTTGGAGGCCAAGGCAGGTGGATCACCTGAGGAGAGGAGTTCAAGACCAGCCTGACCAACATGGTGAAACCCCGTCTTTTTTTTTTTTTTTTTTTTTTTTTTTTTTAATTTTTTATTGGATTATAGGTTTTGGGGTACATGAGCAGAGCATGCAAGACAGTTGCGTAGGTACACACATGGCAGTGTGCTTTGCTTTTCTTCTCCCCTTCATCCACATTTGGCATTTCTCCCCAGGCTATCCCTCCCCGAAACCCCATCTTTAAAAAAAAGTTAAAATTTTTAAATTTTACAGGTATGAGGGTGGCTCACACCTGTAATCCCAGCACTTTGGGAGGCCAAGGCTGGTGGATCACTTGAGGCCAGGAGTTTGAGAGCAGCCTGGCCAACATGGTGAAACCCTGTTTCTACTGAAAATACAAATGTTAGCTGAGTGTCGTGGAAGCTGAGGTGGTAGAATGGCTTTAGCCCGGGAGGCAGAGGTTGCAGTGAGCTGATATCATGCCACTACACTCGATCCTGGATGCCACTGCACTCAAGCCCGGGTGACAGAGCAAGACTCTGTCTCAAAAAAAAAAAAAAAAAAAAAAAGGAAGGAAGGAAAGAGGGAGGAAGGAAGAAAGAAGGAAGGAAGGAAGGCTCCTGAATCATCTTTTTCTTACTCCTTGTAACCCCAACTCAGCATCTGACTCAAAGTTATAATAAACTCTGGCTTCATTCTTAAGATGAAATGTCCAGGTGTTCTGTTTTCGGCTTAGAATGTTAGAACTTATGGAAATAACCCGATTTCTCTTTCTCTCTTCATCCCAGTGACCAAACAGATCCCTTTAACCGTAGTCCCCTCACCATGGACCAGATCCGGCCAAACACAGAACTGAAAGAAAAAATCCAACGGTGGCTTGCAGAGAGGAAACAACAAAAGGAGCAACTTGAATAGATACTGTGAATCAACCAAACCGAAACCAACCCCAGAGTGCAGATAAACAATTGTTTGTGGTTTCTCTTTCTCGTTCTGTTCCTTTTCTTTTTTTTTTTTTTTTTTTTTTTCTAAATTAGAGAACTGCTCTTGCTGAAATTATGATAGTTAAGATTCCTAAGAACTTGACAGTGCTCCCCTGGCTTGCAGGAAATTATAGCATCACCAAGTTTAGAAATCATCACGAATTTTCACCCTCTGTTGTCTCTTCATATTCTTTTCTTCTTCCTTTTCTTAAGTGAAATTATATTATTTCAACTACTAAAACTTCTTGCCACCCTGCTATTTCTCTTCCAATTACTGTTCAAACATTTTTGGTGAGTGCTGCCTTTATAAGTATATAATGTCACATATTTCAGTGACAGCTGATATTATCAGAAAAATCTTGTGTTATCCTGTGTATTTACTAGTCCTCATGATCTATACTTAAGCCATTTTCTGTGTTACAGAGTAACTTCACATAAAAGCAGATACCTTGAAGTTTGTGTAGACTTTTGAATGATAGATGAGAATTTTTTTTAAAGAATTTAAAGGAATCACGCCGGGCGCAGTGGCTCACGCCTATAATCCCAGCACTTTGGGAAGCCGAGGCAGGTGGATCACGAGGTCAAGAGATCTAGACCATCCTGGTCAACATGGTGAAACCCCGTCTCTACTAAAGATACAAAAAATTAGCTGGGCATGGTGGCACGTGCCTGTAATCCCAGCTACTCAGGAGGCTGTGGCAGAAGAATTGCCTGAACCCAGGAGGTGGAGGTTGCAGTGAGCCAAGATCGCGCCATTGCACTCCAGCCTGGGTAACAAAAGCGAAACTCCATCTCAAAAAAAAAGAATTTAAAGGAATCTTATGCAACTTCTGTTGGTAGCTGTTAATTTTGTTATACAGTCTTTTTAATGAGGACTGGTAAGGCAGACATAGTTTTGACACTGTAGTCAAAACATTTCTGGGGTGAGGAGACTGTTGGGCCGTTATTCTCTTATAAAAATCTGTTTCTACAAGGACTAGGCCTGAGTAGATTTAGGCGAGTATCATATCCATGAAAAATGTCATTTTAAGACACTAATATCAACAGTGTATCTCAGTGTGAGATATATACATACATACACACACCATGTGCTTTTTTATGTTGATTTAGGGTAAACTGAGCACCACTTGATATTTTCTCTTCCATAGTGAGATGTATGTAGTGTGTGGCCATGTTTACTAACATACTCATTCTTGACAAAATTCTGAGATTATAAAATGTATATAGTTAATATTTGTTTGGGCTTGTGACCTGACTTCTAAGAGCTGCTTCTAACACAACCTTAGTGTGTGTTAGAAGCAATTAACAAAGTAGGAATTTGAGCACAACCTTGTCCATAAGCCATTTTAAATATACACTTAGCCCTGTGTAGTTAGTAGGTGGATGGACACCACTGTAGTTGAGCTTGAGCTCACTACTCAATTGTGCAGCTTAATATGCTAACTAGGGACATTCCCCTATGGATTGTCTTTATATCACTATCTTTCTAAGCCCAGAGATAGAAGTGACAAAAAAAGTGATAGGATCAAGAAACAGGTGTCACTGCTTCATTTGGAACAGGTTATTAACTATGGTCTCTTTCAAATAAAACAGTTTAATATTTCAACATAAGTGGCTATAAGCAGTCCTTGATGCGTTTTATGGTATCAGCTGGAAAGCCTCACATTTAAGAGGGCTTCCCACCCCAGATATAAAATAAATGTTGCCTATTGCTGTGCTTATAAATGAAAAAGAAGTCGAGGACACTTTTGCACAGGCCAGAATGTAAGATTCATTCAGTGTGCTCCCCGGGCCTTTGAGCCATGGGTTGGCAGGATTTGTTTTCTAATAAAATAATAAATAAGCTTCATTCAGTATTTATTATCCCCCTTTCCCTCTCTGAGAATGAACTCTGTATAAAATAAGCTTCTGCCTGTTTGCATTTGTCCTCCAAACCCAATCTAGTAGGATGTTCAGTCAAGTAGAGTGTTTTCATTTTAAAAACGAGGGGAGAAGACCAGAGTTTTTCAGGAGAAAACAGGAGGAAAATGGGCACAAAAACTCAGAAGGCAGCTATTCCCAGCAGCTTCCTAGTTAACAACCTCCATGCTGCCTCCAGTCTCTGTATTCTTCTGTATTTAACCTTCAGATTGTAAGCCTTTTCTGGCAAGCTTGTCTTCTTTTCTTAAGCTCTTTTCCTGAAAGTTTTTATGAATGGCTATGGCACCATTAATGCTGCTGAGTATCTTTAAACTCTGCACAGGCAAGTGTGTAGCTTAAGGCCACTACTGGTAAGGAAACCAAGTGTCCTCTGTGCCTTTTTTCATTCTGTGAAGTAATTTAAGTACATCCAAAAAAATTAGACTTTAAAAATGTATCATCGCCGGGCGCGGTGGCTCACGCCTGTAATCCCAGCACTTTGGGAGGCCGAGGCGGGTGGATCACGAGGTCAAGAGATCAAGACCATATTGGTCAACATGATGAAACCCCGTCTCTACTAAAAATACAAAAAAATTAGCTGGGCGTGATGGCGCACGCCTGTAGTCCCAGCTACTTGGGAGGCTGAGGCAGGAGAATTGCTTGAACCCAGGAGGCCGAGGTTGCGGTGAGCCGAGATCGCGCCATTGCACTCCAGCCTGGGTAACAAGAGCGAAACTCCGTCTCAAAAAAAAAAAAAATGTATCATCTTGGTTCAGCACCATGTGTATATACCCTTGGAAGTTTAAAAAGGTGTTTTGTCTGGAACTTAGAAGCAGCTCTAAATCTGGTAGAGCAGACTTTCTAACATACCTAGTTTCATGTGCTGGCTTTCCTGGAGTATGACAGAAAATGAAGACTCTTTACTCAGCTCTGGTATTGCTCATAACTTACCAAGAGGCTAATACTAAACTTGGAAAATTGTTTAAGTATGTTTTATCAAGCAGCGTGGGTTTTGTTTTTTAATATAGTTTTTAATGGATATATAAAAACTGAAGGAAACTTTAAAGGCTTTTTAATGGTGCAGGTGAAGGTGCCAGTTGCTATTTGGTATCACACTCTACAAAAGCTTCATTACTTTATTTGATGCTGGTTGCTAAGCAGCCACTGCACACAGCATAAGTCTACTGGGTGCCTTTACAAGCCAGAGGCTGATGCTGCATTGTTGATGTCATGTGAGGAAATAATGCACATGCTGTAATTGCTCTACAGGAAATGAACCTAGAAACAGAAAATGAAGAACAAAAAGGTTGATTGAAATAAAACTTGATCAACACAACTGTATTTTGAAACATTCCAGGAAGGTTACTACTTGTCAAACTTGCCTGGCAGTGTTTGTTCAAAACTTGTATTTAATAAATGAACACCTGACTTAAAACCTTTGTTATCACTTTATTACAGTATTAAAAGTTAATGCCAGTTTCAGAAGTCCCCCTGAAAACTTAGAGGATTCTGACTTTTCACTCTTTTTTTTTTTAGGTAGGTAATGTCAAATATGTGTGACCTGGCTGACCCAGCCTGCCTTACCGGGCCTCTGGAGGGGACCCTGGGGTTACCCTCAGGAGATGAAAGTCACCGCATGGTTTTTCTAACCAGCTCTCTTTTGGCTTCACTGCTTCTCTTTATCTGGCCTGAACCCCAGGTCTCTGGAGTCATTTGCTGTTATCTTCCCTTTTCTTTCTTGTTTCCATACCCCTGCCATGCAGGATCTCAGCCTAGATTAACTCAGCCATTCCCCTCTGCAGCAGTATCCAAACTGCAGACCACTGATGGAGGATAAACAGTTTTTAGAATGGTGCAACCACAGACATGTCTCTACTGTTGCCCAACAACCCTTCTGTGTATCCTTCAGCTATTCCAAACTTTGGCCTCCTTCCTCAAATTCCTTCCCATCCTCCCCTCCCATTTACCACTTGCACTCTGATTACTTTGTCTTCTATTTTGCTGGGAAGATAAAAACTTCAGAGACTTTGAAGACTCTCAAACTTCTCTCCCATCATCCCATCTGTGGAAAAGACCCCATAGATCCCTGGCTATTTCTCCTTTCCTGCCTCATTAGGCTCTTGTCAATATCCCTTCTCATCAGACAGGGTGGCCTGTGCCTGTAATCCCAGAGCTAAGGGAGAGGCTAAAGTGGGATGATCTCTTGAGGCCAGGAGTTTAAGACCAGCCTGGACAATATGGCAAGACCCACCTCTCTAAATAAATAAAGCACTGCCTCTCTCTGTCTTCAATTCCTCCCCTAAGTTGCACATCCCCCTTTGGTGTTCTGGCTTCTAATCCTTTACAGTCATATTTCTTCACCATTCACCCCGGCTTCTTTTTGAAGCTGCATTAATGTTAAAGATTTCCATATTGCTAAATCAACTTTCCCATCCTTAATTTGACTTCTTTGCAGTATACTCGGGCAGGAGAATCACTCTTTCACTGAAGAGTTCTTAGTTTCTGATATCACTTCTAATTTGTCTTTTCACCTCTCTAACCATTCCATAAATCAGAGATTTACTTCTGCTCAGACTTCTCCAGGATACTTATAGTTCTGTTCCTCTCATCAAATGCCACTTCCCTACATAACCTCTTTTCCTCATTAAATTATGACATTTCAGCCCTCTGTAGTATACAGCTGCTCTCTCACACATTGGCTCAAGGATCTTCTCTAGGAAATATGCTCAAATCAGCACCATGCCTAATCTCATAGAATGCCTGTCTCTGAGTTTACATTCCAACTTCTTCAGATCTCAACTCTGCCACTTCCAAATTGTGTGGTCATTTTTCAAGCCCAGTCTCAACGGGAAGAATGCCTTAAGACAGGCTTTCTTTATATTCCAAAATGCCTGGCATAGTGTCGGCATTCAGTACCTGTGATTTTGTTCCTCACATCTGCACAGCTCCTTGTAGCTAATTAGGGAATTAGGAGAAATGGATTCCAATCCTGATACAGGATTTTGGGGAGTGGGATTACAAAAAATCAGCTTTAAAAAGGGCTACCGGCTGGGCGCAGTGGCTCATGCCTGTAATCCTAACACTTTGGGAGGCCAAAGCTGGTGGATCACCTGAGGTCAGGAGTTCAAGGCCAGCCTGGCCAACATAGCGAAACCCCATCTCTACTAAAACTACAAAAATTAGCCGGGCATGGTAGCGCGCGCCTTGTAATCCCAGCTACTCGGGAAGCCGAGGCAGAATAACTTGAACCCGGGAGGTAGAGGTTGTAGTGAGCCGAGATCGCGCCACTGCACTCCAGCCTGGGCGATGGGAGCGAGACTCAATCTCAAAAAAAAAAAAAAGGCTGAGGATTATGGGGCCAGGCGCGGTGGCTTACCCTGTAATCCCAGCACCTAGGCGAGCGGATCATTTGGGGCCAGAAGTTCGAGACCAGCCTGACCAACATAGTGAAACCCCGTCTCTACTAAAAATACAATTAACTTGCCCGGCGTGGTGGCGGGCGCCTGTAGTCCAATCTACTCGGGAGACTGATGCACGACTATCGCTGGAACCCGGGGGCCGGAGGTAGCAGTGAGCCGAAATCGTGCCACTGCACTTCAACCTGGGCGACAGAGCGAGACTATCTCAAAAAATAAAAATAAAAAGGGCTATGGATTGAGCCGGTGACAGGTTGTGTGGTGCTTGCTCGGCTCCTAACTTTAGAGGTTTGGCCTTGGACCCTCTCTACCTCTGTACAACGATCGTGTTGGACTAGAAGAATCTCAGCGAATCCTTCTCCAATACTGACTTCATACTAGGGCAGCAGAATCACCGCGAAAGCACCCTGAGCGAAATAGCGGAGGTCGGCGGCAAGAAAAGCACTGCAGGTTCAGGGCGCATGCGCATTTCCCCTCCTTGCCGGTTCTCCGGACCTCTACGAGTGGCTGCCCCAGAAAATGCCTGCTTCTCTGCAGCATCCCACTGTTCTTCATATGTTCTCTAATATCATCTTTTCATATCCACTTTCTCCTCCATGTTGAAAAAAATTAATTGACAAACTAGATCCTGTAAAGATCTTTTGACATTTAAATATCTTGGACCGGCGCGGAAAGAGGCGGCCTGACCTTGGAAGTGGGACGGGGTCCTGCAGTGGGTCCTTCTGGGGGGGTGACATTCAGCCGGCCGTTCGGGGCGACGGACTTTCCATCCCAGAACCATGGCCCAATTTATCCGTAACCTTGTGGAGAAGACCCCGGCGCTGGTGAACGGTGAGCCCGATGTGAGACTGCCGAGGGGGGCACACGGTCGGCGGGGAGGCCTGCGATGGCCTGAGAGGTAGAAGCAGGCGGCAAAGACTCGAGGGGCCTTGCGGAAGCCGGGGCGGGATGGCCTGCAGGTGGAGGGCGCAGGAGGCAGGTTGGCGACTCTCCTTCAGCCTTCCGCTCGCTTGGCCTGTAGATTGGGTTCTCTACACAGCCTAGAAGTTCCTGAATTCTAACCATGACGGAGAAGAGAGGTAGAGTGAAGGATGCCCGGCGTTGCCTGGCAGCTGCAGCCATTACGCCCCCTTAGATCTCTAAGAGCAGGGATCTGGAGGGGTTGGCTCTGTTAGGAGAGCAAAGAAAAGGAAGGGCAGAAGCGTGTGGGAAAGTACATCAGTTCGGCCTCATCACATGGTCCGGTTCTCAGTGAAATATTTGGAAGTCTACAGAAATGTTTAAGGACATTTTGACTTTTTGAACATTCACTTTGACGGATTCTGAGATACTTCCGCTTTAATCTGAGGGAAGTTTTAGGTGGAAATGGACTTCATGGATGAGTATCTGTGCCCCGAGAATCAGAACGGGTTCCATATAAACAGTAATCTTTGTTTTTACACGTTAGCATTCGTGGAATTTTTTCAGCTTGAAGAGCTGGTAGACCGCTGTGTTTCACAATAACCCTGAATAATCACAATAATCCTGAATAATCACAATAACCCTGAATAATCACAGCCCCTGAGTACTAGTGTATTCTGTCGGTTAATATTTCAGTTGTCTTCTCAGTGGTAAGCTATTCATTTTATTCCTGAAGTGAGATAGGCTAAATTGACGTCTCCTAGGTGTGCTATATTCCAGTAAGCCACTGAAGGTCAGATCTCTTAACTTTCGTTCAGATTTATAAAATGTTCATAGAAAACAGAATTTCAACAAAAAAAAAAAAAAAAAAAAAAAAAGTCATATTTTTGAGCCTGTTTTGCTGTGTTTGAGTTTGATTTGGGTATTTTCTTTTATTTCCTTCCTGCCCCCCACCCCAGAAGACAAGGACTCACTCTGTCGCCCAGTGGCTCACTGCAGCCTCCGACTCCCGGGCTCAAGCGATCCTTCCACCTCAACCTCCTGAGTAGCTGGGATCACAGGCACACACCACCATGCCTGGCTAATTTTTGTATGTTTTGTAGAGACAGGATTTCGTGATGTTGCCCAGGCAGGTCTAACTCCTGGGCTCAAGAGATCCTCCCGCCTCAGCCTCCCGAAGTGCTGGAGTTATAGGCGTGAGCCACAGGGCCATCCGGGTATTTTATTCATTCTCTCCTCTCTTCCCTCCATCACCAGCCAAACTCTGAGTTATTGAAGCCTCTCCTGCAGAACCTCACAGCCTACCAGTGAAACATTTTACACATTTTCCTAAATCATTTCTTAAACTTGCAAGAAAATCTTTCTTTACTGAGATTATCAAGATATCTGTCGTAGAGCTCTTCGATTTTATATAAATCAAAAGAGATGGCCCTGCGTGGTGGCTCACGCCTGTAATCTCAGCACTTTGGGAGGCCAAGGCAAGCAGATCACTTCAGGTCAAGAGTACAAGACCAGCCTGGCAAACATGGTGAAACCCCATCTCTACTAAAAATACAAAAATTCGCCAGGTGTGGTGGTGCACACCTGTAATCTCAGCACTTTGGAAGGCCAAGGTGGGTGGATCACCTGAGGTCAGGAGTTCCAGACCAGCCTGGCCGAGATGGTGAAACTTTGTCTCTACTAAAACAAAAATTAGCTGGGTGTGGTGGCAGGCGCCTGTAATCCCAGCTAGTCAGGAGGCTGAGGCAGGAGAATCGTTTGAACCCAGGAGGGAGAGGTTGGTTGCCATGAGCCGAGATTGCACCACTGCACTCCACCTGTCCACCGGGCAACAGAGTGAGACTCCATCTCAAAAAAAAAAAAAAACTAAAGAGGAAAAAAAGATTGGAGGCTTCACTCTGGACTTCGTGGTTGATTTAAGTCACGATTCTTAATATTTCAAGTGGATTTTTTTTTTTTCTGGTGTGGCTTTCACATTTTTTAGGTGGCACATATTAAGGAATTGCGGGCTAATTATGACAAAATCTAAAAGGAAAAGTAACACCAAGGTAATTTTATGAAATATATAAACACTTCCCTCCATTATTGTGAACAATTGAAAAATAATTTGTTAGTCTTCCAAAAGTACTTAGAAAGGAGGACTCAGCTGGGCCAGAATATTAATGTGGAACTACATTTTGCTTTATAACATACATAGGCTAGTGTATTAAATGTGAATGTTAAATATTTAATAAAAATTATTGCATATGAGCCCCTAATTCTTCTAGGGGGTCAAAGAGGCTTATGGAAATAAGTAATTTTATCATCAGGCTTGCCTAGGAAGATCATAGAGTGTGATTTTTTCCCCCCTTAACTAAACTGTAGACTTTATTTGTATTTCAGCAGTTTTTCCATTAATCTCTTTCAGTTCCAGGATCCAGTTCAGTGTACCACATTGCATTTAGCTTCTCTGTCTTCCCAGCCTTCTCTGATCTGGGACATTTTCCCAGTCTTCCCTCATCTTTCCTGACCTTGACAGTCTTAAGGTGTCTAAGTATCTGTCTAGGTATCTTGAATAATTTCCTCAATCTAGTTTTGTCTGATGTTTTTCTCATGCTTAGTCTGGAACTATGGATTCTGAGGAAATGCCACAGGGATGAGGTGCCCTAATCACATGTCAGGAGGTATATGTTACTCATATGACATCACTGGTGATAAAAGATTTCATCACTTGGTTATAGGTTCCTCCTCTGTAAAGTTACTGTTTTTTCTCTCAGTGTTTGTTCTTTAGAAACAAATAACTAAGCCTATCCCATAAAGGCAGGGTGTGATTACAGTGGGGGATTCCATCTCCTGTAGGAGGGAATATCTACTTAAATTAAATAGAATTCTTCTGTGAGAAAGATTTGTCTCTTCTCCATTTATTTATCTAATCACTTATTGTATGGACTTGTACATTTATTTTGTACTTTTTATATCAAATATCGTATTATTGCTCAAATTATTTCAGCCTCAGCTATTCGAAAGCTCTTTTGGGTTAGCACCTCTCTGTCCCTTTGACATGCGCTTTCACTTTCTAGTGCTACAAGATGCTTCAGATTTATATTGCATTCACCCTGTCCCTGCCTTAGAATCAGCCATTTCTCCAAGGAACCTTAGTTTGTTTTATTGGACAATAGAATTGAGAAACTAAGGTCTGGGTGCTGTGTATGTTCCTTGCTACTAGAATATCATACTTCTAGGTCCTCCCAGTTGACAGGGATGTAGATGTGTATCCATATAGATGTGTGTATGTGTATACATGTGTACTAACCCATGTAGATACATGAATATATGTATGTAAAATTGTTTCTGTGTCTATTAATCAGTGTATGTATTAAGCTAAACATGAGTCCAACTCTAACCCAGTACCATGGGGTTTATTCTTGCTCTTTTCTTGCTTGCCTGTAACACCACTCACCTCCACGGAGAAACCTAGCTCCCACCATCTACCATTCGTTATGTTTTATCTCTTGTATATGTGTAAAGCAGTTTCAAACTCTTTAACCTGTATCCCCTAAGAAACGAATTTGGCACCTAAAATAGTGTTTATGTACAGTATACTGATTAATTTTTGTATAGGGTGAAATATCTATGTGTTGGAGATAATTTTTTTTTTTTTTTTTTGAGACAGTCTCACTTTGTCGCCAGGCGCCAGGCTGGAGTGCAGTGGCGCAACCTCGGCTCACTGCAACCTCTGCCTCCCAGGTTCAAGCAGTTCTCCTGCCTCAGTGTTGGAGATGATATTAAAGACAGTTGGTTAACTGTTCCACAAGACTGTACTTTTTTTGATTTTCCCATCTTACAGGCATTGGCAGTTCTATTTGGAGCTACCTCTTGGAGCTTTGTGTCTGCTTCAAGGTATGCCCATGCCCCCAAACACAGAAGATGAGGGAAAGAAGGGAGATAGTACTTCTCTATTTGAGAAATACTCAAATAGAGGCAGTTAATACAAGGACAACACCAAGAGGCTTGAGTAATCTGTCTTTGAACAACAGACACTTTATGGATGTTCGTGCTGTTTTTATTACATTTCTCTTGTAATTTTTGCAACAGTCTCATTCTGTCCCCTAGGCTGGAGTGTAATGGTGAGATCTTGGCTTGCTGCAACCTCTGGCTCCCGGGTTCAAGTGATCTTGTGCCTCAGCCTCCCAAGTAGCTGGGACTACAGGCACAAACCACCATGCCCAGCTAATTTTTGTAGTTTTAGTAGAGACAGGGTTTCACTGTCTTGGCCAGGCTGGTCTCAAATTCCTGGCCACAAGTGATCTTCCCTCCTTGGCCTCCCAAAATTCTGGGTTTATGGGCATGACCACTGCACCTAGCCTCTCTTGTAATTTTTTTAAATAAAAAATGTCTTTCTCTTTCTGAAATCACTACCACAGTCTCACAACTACCCTGGTTGCTAATAATCTCTTCTCTTGAAATAGTAAATACCTTGAGGAATTCCAGCTTAGTAATAGATTCTAGTTTTGGCTGTTCTTAACAATACATGTAGGTTTTACTTTTATTATTTGTGGTGTCTTTGAAAGAGGAGCAGCTGTGCTTTTGTTAGAGAATGATTTAATCCAGCACATATTGATAAGGATACCAAAATGGTACCAGTTATTATAATTCCATCTGGATTTGTAGATAATATTATGTTTTTATCTTGTTCTTAAGAGTGCCATTCTAACTCCTTCATCCCTTTCTTCACCTCTTTCTTCAAATTTGCTGATCTTTCTACAAGAAAATATGAATAAATTGACTGTTCTCTTGTTATTAAATCCAGCTTCTAGCATCTTTACAGTTAGCTAGATTTGCCATTCATAAATGAAATACAGTACTAGCTGGCCACTAGTGAAGAGCTGGCATAATTGAACGTGCTTGTAGCATCCTGCCTGATTGAACGTCCCTGTGGCACAGGTGTTCTGCTTCTTTAAAAGCCTCTTGTTAGCAGGGAGCAGCTTTGACTTTTCACACCGGGTGCACATTTGGTACAAGCAGTGAATGAAGGTGATGCATGAATAAATATTTCTGTCCAGCCCACACATCTGCTTCTTTTGGTCTCTAGTGAGTTCATCCTGGTTTTTTTGTTTTGTCTTGTTTTCCAGCTGCTGTGACTTATTCGAAGCCTCAGTTGGCCACATTTTGGTACTACGCCAAGGTTGAGCTGATTCCTCCCACCCCTGCTGAGATCCCTAGAGCTATTCAGAGCCTGAAAGAAATAGTCAATAGTGCTCAGACTGGTAGCTTCAAACAACTCACAGTTAAGGTAACCATGGGCTAAATGAAAATGAAGTGCATAACAGAAAATGTCTTCCCCTGGGATTTTTCTGGTTGTTTTGATTAATATATGTGTTTCCAATGAGGTTGAATCCAACATAACGAGAAAAAAAAAGTTTTTTGTTTATTTGTTTTGAGACGGAGTCTCACTGTCGCCCAGGCTGGAGTGCAGTGGTGCAATCTCTGCTCACTGCAACCTCCACCTCCCGGGTTCAAGCAATTCTCCTGCCTCTGCCTCCTGAGTAGCTGGGACTACAGGTGCATGCCACCACACCCAGCTAATTTTTTTTTTCATTTTTAGTAGAGACAGGGTTTCACCATGTTGGCCAGGCTGGTCTCAAACTCCAGACCTCAGGTGATCCGCCCACCGTGGCTTCCCAAACTGCTGGGATTATAGCCTTGAGCCACCGTGCCCGGCCGACTTAATTTAACAGGTTGAGGACGCTGTCTTGGGGAAAGGAAGAGAAGAAACATTTGATGCTGTTTTGACCACATCCTAAGGAGTAATCAGGGCAGTAGTGTCATTGAATTCACTTTAGCTGTGGGTTGTGCGCAGGTGGCAGAGTTTCCTCAACACAAGGTGGTCTAGTCCCCAAGTTGTGGGCCTTGAAATCTGATTAGTGTTCTGCCTTCAACTGGACACTGACCGTTTAAAAATTAAGTCTTCCTATGTCTTAACAAGGGGAAAATAAAGTAACCACGTCTTAGGAATGGGACCCAGGGGTCACCCTGGCTGTGATGCTCTGGTTGTTGCATGGTTTAAATCCTATTTTTGACTGCTGAGGAAGATATTTGTTTTTCTAATTTTGTCACCAGGATAGAAATAATTAGCCCATTTTATTTCTTAGTTTCCTAAGAGTCTTAAACCTAGCAAAAAAGTGAGGATATATATTGGGAATTTTTTTCCCCTTTCCTGTTTAGATAGTAAAATACTAAACAGTAAGATACTAAAATATGACGGCTTGCTTTGCTGAGTCTGTACTTTTTCCATCTGTATTCCTGGAATTGTCCCCTATTCAGCCAAAATATCTCTTCAGGAAGCGAACCCTTCTTATATGTAGGATAAAAATACCAAACCTGGGTTATTGAACTGTGTGAAGATAAAATCTAAAAACTATAAGAATTGAAACCCGTGTCCATGCGCAGTCACTTCCTACCTGTAATCCCAGCACTTTGGGAGGCCAAGGTAGGAGGATCGCTTGAGGCCAGGAGTTCAGGACCAGCCTGGACAATATAGCAAGGCCCTATCTCTGCCCCAAAAAAGTAAAAAAAAATTGCCAGGTGCAGTGGCATGCACCTGTAGTCCCAACTACTTGGGAGGCTGAGGTGAGAGGATTGCTTGAGCTCAGGAGTTAGAGGAGGCAGTGAGCTATGATTGTGCCACTCCCTGAGTGACAGAGTAAGGCCCTATCTCTTAAAAGAAAAAAAAAAAGAATTGGAACTTGGATTTTATTTGCATGATCCAAGCACAGAGTACAAAAAGCCTAAATAATTGTGGGTTTTAGAGCCTCTGTCCTGGGAAATCTTGTTGCTTTTCAGAAGACTTCCATAAACTTCTGGCCTAATTTGATGGGGAAAATTCACTTCCCGAAGTGCTAAAAGAAAAAGGTCCAGTTTTGTTATGCAAAGTTATTTTTTCAACTAGAATTTCAAGATCCATATTTTTGCATGTATTAATAACAGTGCTTTCCTGAGCCATATGTGTATATTTCTCTTTGGGGCACTAAAATGTTGATAGGAATACCAGATTCTTGGTAAGAGTCCAGTCAAATACTAAATGAATAAAAATGAGGTCTAAAGGGGGAGACAGCACTTCATCTTTCAGCAGATTTTCTTTTGCCAGACAAAAATGTCTGTTCAGAGATTCGACCTTCCTAGAGCCATCCTTTCATATGAATACCCTATCTAAATGTGCCAGCTATATCCAGGATATGAGTTGTTTTAGGGCTCATAAGGTGTCTCATAACTTATAATGAAAGGGTTAAGTCAGTTCAGGTCTTTAAAGAATGCTTTGAAAGAATTTATAAGCTCTGACTACCTTACAAAATTGAAAGTTCAAGGGTTCTCAGCAATTGAACAAAAGTAATGTTCATAGTTCTCAACTTTGAGTAAAACTGCCTTCTAGTCTGAAAAGCTTCTTTATGTTCTTTGTCTCTTAATTCTGGAAAAGAATAGTTTTAAATATGTAAGAGAAAAAAAAGATACCATAAAATGTATGCTTCTTTTTTCAGGAAGCTGTGCTGAATGGTTTGGTGGCCACTGAGGTGTTGATGTGGTTTTATGTCGGAGAGATCATAGGCAAGCGTGGCATCATTGGCTATGATGTTTGAAGACCAATCTTTTTAACATCTGATTAAATTTGATTTATTATTTGAGTGTTGTTGGACCACGTGTGATCAGACTGCTATCTGAATAAAATAAGATGTGTTAAAAATCAGTGTTTTTTTCCATCAAATATTCCATGAAAGGTCATGATTTCTCTTGATATTAAGCTGGGTTGTCTTTAAACAACTCTAAATGTGCGTCCGTTTAGCCTGAAGTTGGAAAGGATACATGTGGCGATATTAACCTGGTACATGAATATAAGAGGATAACATTTTAATTTGAAGGTTTCAAATATATATGTTTAAACTTTATTTCCAAAAGAGTGAGAGTAAGGTCTTGGGAAAACTAGAACTTGCTATAGTAAGAGAAATAGTAGTACCATATGCCAAAGTGATAAGATGAATCATGTCAGTAGTTAGAATAACGTTTCCACTGTTTTTTTTGCCAAAATCACAGAAAGACCCTATTGACAACATCTATGTCTATAACAATGTTAGAGTACTTCTTGTCATCTTGAATACAGCCTCCGCAAGAGAGAACAGGGTGCCAGTCTAAGTATATATCTTTGTAGCATCTTTAACAGTAGGACAGAGCCGTGACCTACATTTTAAATCCGACTTTGATGTGTATTATTCACTTGTCTGGTTTTACTACCTTTGCAAAAAACTCTCCTACAGATAAATTAAACAAGGTTGTTACTTAGGGTCTTCCCTGGGTCAAAATGTAAATTATGTCCTGAAGTAAATGAAGTGATTGGTGTTTGTCTTCTGGAGCAATTTTATTGGGAATACAGGAAAGACTTATCGTTCCTTGGCTTTTCCCAGGGATCTTACAATCCTTAATTGACTCATTGGTACTTTTCTAAATCCACTGTTATTCCTGCAGCCACAGCAAAACATGCAATACCAGCCGATGATAACCAACAGGCGGTTGCATATTTATTGTAAAAGCATTATGGCCCACAATATAGTATTAATCCTTTAATAGTTGAACCTTTATCCAGTCCATCTCAGATTTACCCACTGCATTTAGAATACTGCTACTGTAGCCTAATAAAGGGCACAGCTTATCTAAGTGAATGGCAAGAAAGCCCCTTAGAGACTACCACACTGCTGAAATATGAGGTAATGGTGAAGTGGCTCCTGCAACAAACAGGTGGTCAGAGCTGAGACCCCCTCTTTTCAAAAAGACTGCTGTGAGAATGGCAATCTGAGTTTCTTTTGCATCATTATTCAAATTAACTGGAAAAAAACAAGGTAGGAGATCAGCTAGTACTAGTTAAGACCTACAGACGCCTAGTTGATGAATGATATGTAATGTGGTTTTTTTTTAACTACACGGTCACAGCAGAAGGTCCTCAAAATAAACATTTAATACTCACTTCACTGCAACTTCCTCCTCCGTTGCCATACGGAACACCTCTGACCTCCCCTGTGGCTAATAGTGCATGTACAGAATTTTCTTAGGTTAAAATAGCAGTGAGATCCCTGAAGTGGCCACTTAATTTCACCAGGCTTGTTTTTTGTGTTGTTTTTTTTGTTGTTGTTTTTCCCCCCTCATCAACCCCAAATATCTTCTAACAGAACTGTTGAAGCTTTTGCTGAATTTGTGTGCTGCCAAGTGTTGGTCATTAGCAAATTCAGTGTTTATTGTGCATCTCCTGAGTTCCAGGCACGATTAAAATGGCAGAAACATTCATGAACAAGACTGTTACCTGTTTCACAGAGTTTGAGCTGGTAAGACAGGTAATTAAGAATGCAATTACTATAATAAGATGTGAGAAGTACTATAATGAGGGAAGAGGAAGGCATGCTTGAAAGGCTAACCCAGACGAGAGGGAGGTTCAAGGGAAGTTGGCAGAGAAAATAGTACCTGTTTAAACCAGGAGAGTAAGTTAGCCAAGAAGAATGGAACAAGGTATGCCGGGCAGGTGAAATAACCTGTGCAAAAGCTATGGTCAGAGAAAGTGTAATACATTGATGGTTCTCAGAGTGTTTAAGTGGCCAAATTGCCAGGCAGAGGAGAGCACTGAGAGGTAAAGCCAGAGATGGCGGGGACCAGACTATATTTTATGCCATATTAAAGATTGGACTTCTTTAAGGACAATGAATGGAAAGCCGTTGAAAGACAAGGCACAATCCTGCCCTGAAATAACTTGCATAGGCGAACATTAGCAGCCAATTTCAATCCCATGTAACGAAAGCCAGTGTAGAAACCCGCCAACTTGCATAGGATTCCTGTAAGAGTGCATGTGGACCTGCAGTTTTCTCAGTATGTCACAGTAGAAGTACTCGTTTAGCAGTGGACATTATGAGGAGAGAGAAGAGAATGGTTAAGTCCAAGTCTTATAAAAATATTTGTTATTGTGGCCCAAAGGTTGATCCTTAACGAAACTGCTATCTATAAAAATAAATTATTTGGCCAGGCACAGTGGCTCGCACCTGTAATCCCAGCACTTTGAAAGGCTGAGGCAGTTGGATCACGAGGTCAGGTGTTCAAGACCAGCCTGGCCAACATGGTGAAACCTCATCTCTACTAAAAACTACAAGAATAAGCCAGGCATGGTGGCAGGTGCCTGTAATCCCAGCTACTCGGGAGGCTGAGGCAGGAGAATCACTTGAATCCGGGCGGCAGAAGTTGCAGTGAGCCGAGATTGCACCACTGGACTCCAGCCTAAGTGACAGAGTGAGACTCCATCTAAAAATAAATAAATAAATTCTTTCCTGCTGAGCAGTCTAGGGAGAAAGAAAAAAATAAATTCTTTAACATAAATGTAAGTAAACAAGGCTTTTTCTTGAGGCTTTCATCATTTCAAAACTAATGTGAGGCCAGGTGCAGTGACTTACGTCTGTAACCCCAGTATTTTGGGAGGCCAAGGCAGGCAGATACCTGAGGTCAGGAGTTCGAGACCAACCTGACCAACATGGTAAAACGCCATCTTGGCTGGGCATGGTAGCTCATGCCTGTTATCCCAGCACTTTGGGAGGCCGAGGTGGGCGGATCACCTGAGGTTAGGAGTTAGAGACCAGCCTGACAAACATGAAGAAACCCCATCTCTACTAAAAATCCAAAATTAGCTCGATGTGATGATGCATGTCTGTAATCTCAGCTATTTGGGAAGCTGAGGCAGGAGAATCTCTTGAACTTGAAAGGTGGAGGTTGCAGTGAGCCGAGATCATGCCATTGGACTCCAGCCTGGGCAACAATAGTGAAACTTTGTTTCAAAAAAAAGAATCTAATGTGAACTGTCCACATTGTATATTTCATGCTTTGTTTATACATCTCAGCATTGTTCTTAGATTAACAGTTTCTCCTTTCTTTTCCATTCTTCTCTTATATACCTAAGTATTCTACCCTGATCTCTAAGGATAGCTCAATACTTTGTTTCTTTTTAAATTTTTCACGTTTTAAATATTTCATATTTTTATAGCACTTTATCTTTTCCTTTTTTTGTTGTTTTTTTTTTTTGTTTAGAGATGGGGCTTCTCCATGTCGGTCAGGCTGGTCTCAAACTTCCAACCTCAGGTGATCCACCCGCCTCGGCCTCCCAAAGTGGTGGGATTACAGGTGTGAGACACCACGCCCAGCCAGCACTTTACCTTTTCAAAGCACTTGCACCAACTATCTAATTTAGCCCTCAACTTTCCTCTGAAGCACGTGCCATAAATGATACACCATTAACAAGAGAGGACTGAGCAGAAAACATGAAATAATTTGGCTAGGATCCCAGGAGCCATAAGTGGTAGAAGCATAAATGACCGGTGTTGTAGTCTGCGCCCTGGCTCTACCTGTGACCAGTGGACTCTGCTTTGCATTTCCACAGTTCCATCCTTTATTATATATTCTTGGTCCTGTTTTGCCCTACTATTAAGTTATTTAAGATTTATTCTCATTAGATATCAGCCTCCTTAATCTTAGGTAAGGTGATAAGTACTTTAGTAGGACTTACTATTTCCTAATTAGTGTTTTTATTTCTACCAGGATGTAAGATTGTGATCACCCTTCTAATGAATTCAGCAGCAGTTTCACCAGAGGTAATACCTTAGCAGGGAACTTACACTAGACCTGTTTACCAAACAAAAGCCCCTGATACAATAAAATGCTAACATGCAAAGCCCTTGGCAAGGTCCCTTCAGCCTCGCCTTAATCTCTTAGCTACCAACCATTGTTTCAGCCACAATTTCAAACCAATCCCCCTAACACCCAGCTTTCAATCTCATGTTATTAGAGTTTATGTCGACTGTCCCTGATCGTTGCAGTTTTCCACTAATCGTTCATTCCCCTTTATTTCTTTTCGTCTTTTGGCACAGGGTCTCACTCTGTCACCTGGGATGGAGTACAGTGTGATCACGGCTTACTGCAGTCTCCACCTCCTGGGCTCAGTCAAGATCCTCCCATCTCAGCCTCCCAAGTAGCTGGAACTATTGGCGCATGTCACCACACGCGGCTATTTTTTCATAGAGACAGGCTTTTGTAGAGATAGCCACATTGCCCAGGCTGGTCTCAAACTCCTAGGCTGAAGCAATCCGCCTACCTTGGCCTCCCAAAGTACTGGAATTACAAGTGTGAGGCACTTCACGTGGCCTCCTTTATTTCTTGCCAATTTTGTGTCCTGGCTCACTGTCACTTTATAACACTACTTATATCTTAATTCTCGGCAATTGCAGTTTCAACATACACATGGGTCAGCAGTTTCCAAAGTGTGGTCCCTGGACCACAGCAGCATCACCATCATCAGGGAATTTAGAAATGAAAGTTACCAGGCTCTGCCCCAGAAATTAGGGGTCTTGCAATCTGTGGTTTTTTGTTGTGGTGGTAGTTTGCATTTTTTAAGAGATGGTCTCACTGTACCTGGACTGGTCTCAAACTCCTGAGCTCAAGCAGTCTTCTTGCCTCAGCCTCCCAAGTAGCTGGGACTACAGGCATACGTCATTGCACCCAGCACAATCTGTACTTTAATTGGCTTTGCATATATAAGTCTAATGTATGCTAAAGTTTGAGAACTATTAACATCAATGATCCTTAAACCAATCTGGCTTTTCGATTCCCTAAAAACTTAACAGTTATACCTTTCGCCATCCTTGGATAGTGATTCCCATCTTT